ATAAAGGCATCTAAATAATTGTAACAATTTAAGTAATATCAATATTAGGTAGGGAATTTCTCTTAGATGCTATAAATCTACAATTTGAGTAAAGAATCTAAACGACAAATCTATGTCTACTAACTTGATATCTACAGTTATTTAAGGTACCTACTTACGTAATCTTTTAAATTTTAAAATTGAATTGAATTATACTCGGTGCAAATAACCCTTATTACTTTCAAAGCATTTACTAGAGAACTTATGTCGCCGTTGCCTAGTAACTGAATAATTTTTTACAGCATACCACCTTCCAATAAATATGTATGTAACATGCAAGAAGTATGTAGATACACATCTTTAGACTACACAAAGTAATTTAAAGGTATACAAATTTCTAAGTCTTCTAAATAGAATAGTAACATACCCAACACATAATACGTATTCTACTTATATGCGTAGTTATTTAGTTTATTAGTTCAGGTGCAAGGTAATGTAGTTGTGCATATTACGTAGGACAAATAGGTAGGTACATCGTTTTTAAACATGTGCCCCATTTATATTTAAAGTTTAGATATGAATGGGGCACATTTAATTTTGTAAAATACCAATTCTTTCAAGTGGGTTGTAAAAGAAATGAGTTTATCTATAAATTTTGTTTTATGCAGTTGATTATAATTAAAATAATAAAAGGGTAGAGACTCATCACACGACTAGCCGCGCATCATACAAACACTCAGTCTATCGTACATTTTAGTCACATTTTGTACTGGGTTTTCCTGCGTTTACTTTAAACATTCTTGCAACTTTCTTTCTAATCATAATCGATACAGTATACTAAGATACAATTAAAGAAATATTGTTATTGCCTATATCCCATCACCAAAGTTCAATTATACTCGTATCATGCTTGAAGTTTTATGAAACCAAAAATTTAATTGTTCATCATTTAGCTATGCGATCAAATATTTTGTATTCTTACATATTAACAATATTGCCTTAAGACATTATTATAATTTTTTTTCGACTCACACCGCATTACCAACGAAAATGTCATAATATTTATGATGTAGGTAATTTTAAGTTTATTTTTTTCATAAAATTTACTGACAGACAACAAAACCTAAGCTAATTTGGATAGTTATAAAATATAATAAACAAGGGCACAAGTAACTTTTAGGTTTTATTACTAATATAGAAAAAAATATATTCTTATTTATACTTCCATATCTTGAATAAGTAATTCAAATTTTCACTTAAAGACATTCATTAAAATATTTTCATTTTAAGATGGTCGCGTGCGCCTTCTAGTAGCAAGTGAAAGTTACGATAAAATAGTATATTCAGACTTTACCTAGTCTGTAGTAGTTAATGTAGACATCACTCTAATACTCGCGTCATTGTTTCGTAATGTCGGTCTTAACACCACTAACTCACCAAAATATTGTTCTGAAAAAACCTTCATGAACTTTTCACGTCTTGAAAGTCATTGTGTAAACTCGGTGTGAACTATGATAAAGGTGGCGTTTTTAATATTTTTCATATAAGTAAGTTTATTGTTAATTATAATCTAAATTATTATTTAACTATTTTCCATGCTGTAGTTGAAGACACACCGTTACATAAATCCGTAAATCTTAACTGAATATTGCAGGAAAAAATTAGAGATTATACAGTGCTGGCGGTAGTCATTTTAGTTGGACGTATTTACGTAAATTATTACATATGTATAACGTCACTGAACTTCTAACAGTGTGTAAATCAAAAATGTCAACAGTAACTTACAAGACAGCGACATATCTATTAAAGGTAAATCAATTTTAATTTCGTGGCAGTTTTTTACATTTACATTAAAACTGTTTTTAGCTGAATATTGTCTGTAATAAGTTGAAAGTGTCAATTAATCTCATGGATAATTTTTGCAGGTTACAAATTTATAAGCAATCAATATTTAATGCTGTGTTAGCCATATGCTAAAATTGGTAAGATAACTTTTTTGTGGAGTGTGGTCGTCTTGTTATTCAAAAAGGGTGACAAGTTCCAACTACCAGATCAAGCTGGTTTTCAGGGCGGACATGGCACCATAGACCACATCCACACAGTGCGGCAAATTATACAGAAGACCGAAGAATATAATCAGACCCTGTGTCTAGCATTCGTGGACTATGAGAAGGCCTTAGACTCGATCGAGATCTGGTCTGTTCTGGTTTGTAGCAAGTGGAGTGGAGTTGCCAAGTAGATTGGCGGTACATCCAAGTAAAGAAATGTCTTTACGAAGCCGCCACTATATCCGTCCAAGAACAGAATCAGCAAACAAGGCCTATACCCTTGCATCACTATTATTACCATTGCATCGAGGAGTGAGACAAGGGGACGTTATCTTCACAACTGCAATGAAGGACATGTTCAAGACGCTACACTGGAAAGGGCGTGGCATCAACTTCAATGTCGAATACATCACTTGCGACTTACAGATGATATCGTCATCATGGCAGAGATGCTGCAGGACCTACAACAGATGCTGACATTACCTGGCTGACTCTTCTGTGCGCATCGGCCTCCGGATGAATTTGGATAAACCAAGGTTATATTCAATGAACATAACCTTGATTTGGTCGGTGGTTGGAACCGACTGCGGTACACGGAGCCGTTCTGGAAGTTGTTCAAAAATATGTATACCCTGTGCGAACATTGCAGTTAGATAGAAACTACTTCGAAGACGAGGTGAATAAGAGAATTCAGCTGAGTTGAGCCGCGTTTGGGAAACTACGTCAAGTCTTCACATCGTCGATCCCACAGTGCCTTAAGACGAAAGTCTTCAATGCGTGTGTCCTACCCGTCATGACATACGGAGCCGGAACGTGGACACTTACGAAACGGCTGGTCCACAAGTTCAAAGTCGCTCAGCGTGCTATGGAAAGGGCTATAGTAGGCGTTTCTTTAAGGGTTGAATCGGCAATGAGGTGATCAGAAAATCAAGGTCATCAGGTAGGCAGAAAATCAAGGTCATCGACATAGCCCACCGAATCAGCAAGCTGAAGTGGCAGTGGGCTGGCCAAATAAGCCGCAGAACCGACAACCATTGGGTAAACGAGTTCTTAAGTGGAGACCGCGGTCTCCACTTAAAAAAACTCTCTTACTCTCTCGGTAAATGCAATGCAATGCGGTAGGACGCCCACAGGCCTAGTGGAGTGACGATTTGCGTATGATGGCTTGCAGGAGCTGGATACGAGAAGCCGAAAATCGATCGAAGTGGCGTGCTATAGGAGAGGCCTATGCCCAGCAGTGAACTGATGATGATGATGATGAACTCTTTTGTGACAGATTGAGAAGTACACAAAATTGAATGCTGCTTAAATGATAAGACCATTAAAAAATTACTAACGCACTGTTAGAAATTCATTAAGGATTTAGAGATATACTCGTATTTATACCATCTGCATGTGTCACATTTCATCCACATGTATGTGTGATATATATATATATATATATATATAAATGTATATATACATATTGTATCTATACATCATGTGGATGTGAGTAGATTTTAATAACCAGTAGGTTGTGGCATTGTGCTTTTATTGAATTCCTTTAATTAACTACGTTTATGATGTATAATTGTGGTGCATGGTCATGAATCTCAATCTTTTTACATTTGCTATATATGATTAAATAAACCTTAAACTATTTGAAATTAAAAATAAAATAAAAACGTGATTAATGAATAAGTATAGTGCTACAGATAGATTATAGTAACCGGTATTTTCATTTTAATCGTTTGCATGTATTCCTCCCCTCATCGTATACAAATAAATAAAGCAAACCATTTTATGCATTAATATTCCGCACTATCAATATTCGTTCACAGGTCATCATTATTTGAAATCAAAGTACATAACTTTCATTATGTAATTACGCCTAAGATCCTCACTATGTAGATATTTGTTTCATGCACAAGTACTAGTTGACTTTTGTGGTGTCTGCCCAAGTTATGAGTCGAAAAGAGGACATAAACCGAAGCCATATTTTCTGCAATGGTCGATTTCATTTATTTTACTACCCTACACTTAAACTTGACTTCGTGATACATTTTTCTAAATTTCATGTCGTATCAATTTATATTATTGAGATGTATTTTGCTATATTAGGTAAACAATTCTTGTATTATCTGATTCTACCCTGCGTTTTTAATTTTCTCTCGTCATTGATAAATGAATTAATTGAACACCTATTGATAGGTAGAAATATTTCAAGGATCCATCTCAGGTATTGATATTTCTCAATTAAATAATGATATAAATTGACGATGTGAGATGAAACTTCATAATCATCTCTAAATGGTATCGAAAATATAATAACAATATTGTCTATGAAAAATATTGTATATCTTAGCACCACTAGCCTACCACGTATGCCCGTCAACGTATTACATTCCGTGTAGTGATATACTATAAATATACTAGTATTGCCCTGCAATTCTTTCCTATCAAAATCATAAGGTATAAGTGACAAGGATCAAATACTCGTAAGTCACATTTTTTAAATATGATTTCATCATTTTTTTGTTTAATTTTTTCAATTCCTCTCATTATTATGAGCAAATTATTTGTATGTAGCTCAAAAATTTCTAATATTGCATCCTAAAGCAACACGCATTATTACTAAGTTACTACTGTGACTAAATTTGGCGTATAATATGTGAAGACTATTACATATTGACCGATCAGTTCATAGAATTACTTACTGGATATTATTGATATTTACAACTATTTATAACAATCTATATAAATACGTGCTACATAATGACACAGAACAAGTAAAGAATTATCTTAATGTATTATGTTCTATGTATAGGCTAGGACACAAGCTGCCGTTGACTAATATTGTACAATCTGATTACATAATAATATTGTGTACTTCATAATCTGTTCACAACGTATTGTGAAAACATCAATTATAAATGAAATATAATTATAATTATGGCTTGAGCGGATTTATATACTAATAAATCAAAAGTTACGTTAAGCATTCAAACTTTTGTTACCGTTAGTAAGTTCTTGACTTCTCTTATGCGATGGCAGTGCCTTTGATGTTGAATCTGTAGGTGCTGGAGTTACAGATGTGAGTACTGAACTTGATGTTACTTGATGACTTCCATCACTTGTTGTTGGTGTTTTTGAAGTCTTGTCAGTTGGAATTGATGCACTAGTAACCATTGCAATTGTGGTAGATACTGGAAAAGCCTTTGCAGTACCTTTTAATCCTGTAGAATTCTTTGGCGTATTTGTTAATAAAGGAGGAGTGTTTATAGTGGTTGTAGTCACAGTAGTCGTTTTTGCTTTAGAAACCATAGCTGATGTTGCTGGTAATGAGGAATTCTTTGTATCACTAATATATACAGGAGAAGCTTTAGCACTAATTGTGGATAAAGAATTAATAGTGCAGGCTGGTGAAGAAAGAGTTTTGGCTATAGTTGTTGATACTGGAGGAGCCTTTGCAGGACTGACGGATGGATTATTTACGATGGTTTCAGTTAATGTACTTGAGGATGCAGATGGGATATTGGTAATATTTATATTCGTAACAGCTTGATTTGGCAATGTTGTGGGAATATCGACCATTGGCACTTTTATGATCTTCGCAGAGGATGGAACGGCAATTAGAGGTTTTATACTTGTTTGAGGTTTTGAAGGTAAATTACTATCAGTAGTTTTGTTACCTATTCCAATTGTTATCATATCATTCGATGAAGGTTTTGCTATTGTCTCATTCTGTGCAACTAACGTAGTTGGGATTTCAGTAACTTTTGCTATTGGCGTTTTTGACTCCGATGATGGAATATTATGTGGTGACATAATGGGTTTGAAAGAGTTCGATGTAGCTGTTTTGTTGGCAGATGTCACATTCCCAGAAGAAGGCAGTTTATTACTAATAGGACTAGTGATGTGGACATCATTGGCAGTTGATTTCGGCAAATTCGTTTTACTATTCTTACTATTTATATCATTCGCAGAAGATTGAATAAGTGTTGCTGATTTTGTGATAGATGTGCCAATATCATGAGGTTTTATTACGATCTTAGACGTAGGTGGAGACGGATTTTTGTCAATACATTGTAATTTAGATGTAGAGTCCTCCTTATCAATTGCATATTTTTGACGTTGTAGGTGTTTGCTACTAGTAGAGGCATTACTCGCAAGTTTGTCCTGATAAGTAGTTTCGGATTTATTGGATTGACGTGGTGTACAATTATCACGAGACGTTATATTTTTATTAAAATCTGTCTCTGGCTGTGAAATTTTAAAAACATTGGTTTTATCCATTTTCGTTGTCTGGGCAGTTTTATCATTAGGAATTTGTTTAATATCATAGTTTGAAGAACTAGCTTGCGCAGTAACTGGTGTATTTATTGATTTACAAACGGCACTTGGTATTGTTGATTTTATTTCATCTGAAGTGGAACTACCCAAACCTTGACGTAAAGATACTTTTGTAAGTTTTTCAGCACTTACATTTTCCTCTTTATTATTCATATTATTAACGTCTCTTAAAGGCGTATCTTTCACACTATTTGAGGGTAATTTGGATCCTATTTTAAAATCTTTCATTACTGTAGATTCATTAGCTATTGCTTTATTATTTTGTGTAAGTTTGTTTTTATCAGTTAATTCTTTAATGTCAATGATTTTACTTGTTGGTTCTGGCACAAACGTAGAAGTTTTAAGGTTCTGTTTTTTTTCTGGAATATTTTTATTGCTATTTGTCATGTTACAGGGAACTGTGCTCACATTCGAAGTAACAGTTCCAGATGGTTCACCACTGCTATTTTTTGCACCTTTAATACTCACTTCTATTGTTGTTAATATTGGTACTGGTGTAACTTGAAGTGGTTCCATGTGTTTTGTTTTATCGTTTGAGTGTATTTTAGCCGTTGTAAAAATCAAAGGACTCGGACTAATTCCACTTTTTTTACTGGCATCAATTTCAACAAGAACTTGGGTTTTTGATGTAAGTAAACCCTTCAAAGTATCAGGGCTGTTAAACACATTTGTATTCATGTGATTATGGAGTGGTTCATCTCCGCCTGTATATTTTGGCATCGTATTTGAGCTAAGAGTCGGCGTAATTGCGTTAACTTCGTTTTGAGTGTCAGACATTAATGAATCTTGCTTTTTATCCTCTTTTAACAGTTTTGTCTTATCACTTTCCCTTTCATTTTTAAAGTCAGTCTTAGTTTTGGGTAACAAATTATATTTGGCACTTTGGTTTATCGTATCTGTCTTCTCTTTATCTTTTTGCAGTAGAGGTTCTACAACTGCATCATCAGATTCGTGACTAAGACTCTGGACCTTCCGTTTGATCGAGTTCCGTTTAGTTTTAATTATTGCCCCGGTCTTTTTAATTTCATTTTCTACTCCACTTGTAATTGAAGTAGTATCACCGCCGTCTTGAGATGTCTGAAATTAATTTATAATTGTAATAGTTTATTGTATTTTTATTACATTTTCTATTTTCTTTTTGTATTTTGTTTGTGGGCAACCACAATTTAAAGATTTTTCTATTTTTCATTAACACATTATCACTTTTATGAGAACAATATAAGTAAAAATAAGTTACTTTTACAATAATCAGGTGCAGGTAGTTTTAGGTTGGAAAACACTCATTAAATGACGGTTGTCTAAGATTTCGAGCGCGCTACTGAATGTACGTTATGTCGAACCATACTGACCGATGATGGTACAAGTTAAGAGCGTTTTTATGTTATAACAATATTATTAAAAATGTAGATTGCAAGTTTTGTTCTGAAAATGTTCAGCGAGCTTGTTTCTTTGACATCCGATGGAAGTATGTTACGAGAATATAGTACGACTGCACGGATGGCGTAATGGTTTAAGCGGTCGCCACGCCACTTCCTATTGCGCCGAGTGTTCTGGGTTCAAACCCCACATAGGACAACACTTTGTGTGATCCACAAATTGTTGTTCTGAGTCTGTGTGTACTTTTTATCCGTTTCATGTATGTTTGTAAAGTCCCCCGCGACACAGGATATATTCCTCGTGCGGGAGTTGTCTTTAAAAAAAATTGGTTCTACTCCCTTAAAAGACACTGTATTCCTAGTTTCCTCATTTTATATTAACTGCCACACATTGTACTTTTTACACATGTTAATAACGCATAGCATAGTGATGAACCTATGGTATGAAAGGATCTACCTTTCGCATTGCAACAAGCGGGTGGGTGTGCGGGGGTCAAGCGCCGCGCTCGCGTAATACGGGACGGCCGTGCAACAGCAGCACTGGAGGTGACAACTCCGTCTCTGTTCTCCGTATGCCAACTACTGACGCAGGGCCCCATTCCTCAGTAGGTCGTGATAAAACTCGTGCTTTCTGTAAAATGAAATTAAATCATTAAAGATGATGATTTTGTTTAAATTATCTTTTTTGTTTTGGTGCCCATATAAAGTGGGGGGGCATTTTTAGGAAAACCAAACAATGAGCCTATGCCTATTCCTAGCCTATGTATATCTGGCATATCTATTCCGAGACGAGACGACGAGACATTGGCGAGATATTGTTGGTGAAACTAGTACCAGACCAAACAAAACCGTTGTCTATACAAAAAGTAAATACAATTAAACGAATTTACAACCAAAGGTGTTACCATCATCACTATGAAGCTTGCATTGCGTTCATGCATTATAATTAGGTATGACTAAACAAATGAAAATAATATGCACTAAACTTTCAGTAGATCCTTGTGATATAGTGTGTCTCTTAACCTTCAAAACCTACCTACCTTTTTATTACCTTATACAACTTAGTTAAGTATAGTAACTGACTAAAACACTTTCCTCCTGGATTTTTCAAGACACGCACCTATTAAATTGTTTGAATTCAGATTTATTTTAGATTAGCTTTTATTGAAACAAACCCAATAGTGATTTACTATATTCTACATGGTACGTACCTCCATAATAGTGAGATCATCAGGTCCACTACAGATCTGATCAATGGCCATCAATACGACTACAACGACAGGCAGTACGCCGAGGGTCCAGCCTATAGCGTCCGCCCACATAGGATATACGTAGCTCCCATACGAAGCTGGCCGGTACTCGATCCAGTTGAAAACTAGTATAAACTGTGCATAAAATTTAATAACAATTATCAAAAATTAGAAAAAAGGTATTGCATTTTGTTCATAAAATCTGACAACTTTAAAGCCAGGACTTCTCATGAATATTTGTTAACAAAAAGCCTAAGCAGAAACTTGCTAAAATTAATTGAATCTCAAAAAACAAGTGTTTTTAATTCTAAAATTACGTACCACCAGAGCAGCGGGTGTAATTACTCGCCACATTGCACTCCAGAAGAAAACCCACAATTTGGTTTGGGGGCCTATCATGCTCTGAATGTCACGACAAAACTTCTCGGCTCCGTATATCCAGGCTATTAGAATACACTCCCCGATTGCTATGATCAAAACAGACCAGTTCGCTGCGTACTTGTCCATTAGCTGTAGCCAGTACATTCCACTCTGTAAGATTTTTTTTATAGAATAAGGAGCGAGATGACTGGTCACCTAATGGTGAATGACTACCGCCGCTCCTTAACTAGGACAATCAGCCTTCACCCCAGAATTAGAGGGATATATTGGGCCTCCGGTAACCTAACTCACTCGATGAAAAGTATGGCACTCCCACGGTAAAAAAAGCGTAATCATTGACCATATGGATTAAGTAATTACTGCTAAAAAGTACGTTCATTAAAAATATGCTAACATATGCTAAGATTTCGCTTCAACAAATAAAATAAGTAGCTAAGGAGCTCCTATTGGCTTTAATTAGATACGTAAAACTATGAATAAAATTATGTATATCTTTTATCAGTTTCACTATTTAAACTAGGACCGTGCTTTTGCGTTTAAAAAAAGTAAGTGAACAGTAATGTGTAGTGGAATACGCATTGTTATCAGTTATGTATGTAACGGTATTTTTCCACGTAAGCAATTCTCTTTAGCTTCAAGAAGCTTATACGTAGTATAAGTATGTATATATATATATAAGAATACACTTATAACTCCATTTTTTTTTGGAAAGAAGTTCCTTATCGCGCGTTACACGCTCTGAGCGGATGAGAGCGAGACCGAAAAATGTGTAACAAGCCTTGTTTCCGACACTTCAGTTGGCGCGTCGACGATCTTTTTTTGTTGTCAATAGAAGGACTAATACGTAATTTCCCGTTTTATTAAGGGCAGCTTGTAGAGTCTAAATAAATGGACATTTATTTACGTAATTTTATTTAAGTTCCTAAGATTGGTATAACTAAAACAAACTTTACTTACGTTAGTTGTGAAAATGAGTCCTCCAAGATAGCCAAAAACAGCAACAAAAAATACAACCCAGACTTTCTTTTGTCGATAATTTGGAAATCGGTCCAGTATAGCTGTTGTAACGGTCTCCATGAGTGCAAACTAAAACAAATTGAACACAACATTAAGAAAAAGGTCCGATATATATATCATGTCTATTAGTTAAAATTTAACAGTACCTGTGAGTCCAAGCCAAGAGTCAGTAACATGACAAAGAACAATATAGACCACAGTGGCGAAACCGGTAGTCTGGTGACCACCTCAGGATATACGATGAAAGCAAGTCCTGCCCCTTGATCGACCACTCGATCGACACTTACATTAAGCTCGTGAGCCAGGAATCCTATTACAGAAAATATAACAAGACCAGCGAAGAATGATGTTGCTATGTTGGATACGGCCACAATCAATGAATCACTGAAAATAAATCAAAGTTGATTAAATTTTATAAAAAACGTAAATTAATGTATCTAGGCTGTAAGCACTTATCACTTACATGTAGCAGTTATTAGAAAACTTGTTATAAGAAGATAACGTTATAAGACCACCCCAAGCTGGACTTAATGCAAAAAATATTTGAACTGCCGCGTCGCCCCATACCTAGAAATTAATTAGACGGGTTATAATAAAATAGACATGCTGTTTCTTCTAATAATTAGCAAATTGAATACTAGTTACAAACCTGTGCGTTAGCCAGCTGACTAAAATCTGGAGTCAGATAAAAAAGAATACCCGTCGATGCACCAGGTAACGTTACTCCACGAAAAAATAAAATTACCAATACCACATAGGGAAAGAGAGCTGTGAAGTATACTACCTGTAAAAATATATATGTAAGTATATTCAAATTTTCATTTTCATTATACACAAAGGTTATCTCACGGCTTTGCTCGCCCAAATGAAATTTTACTTCACCTCGGTAACATTTCTTTCTGAACGAAAGGTACCATAATGTAATAAAATGAAAAATACAGCAGCGTCAAAAATACAAACAAATTAACATGGTTTCTCGTATAAGATGTGTGTAGAAAGGAGTCATACAAATTATAGGTTCACAATCAGGTAATGTATATTACCAAACTGTAGTATGTTATGTTCTATTAAATTTAGTTTAGTACATTACTTTATTTGGATAAGGTAGTAAGATGTTACATTTGAACCCGAAAATATGTTGTTTTCCACATCACTTAATTTTCGACCACTAGGGAGTGGCATTTTATGTTCACATTTGAATGGAACCAAAAGGAGAAATATACGCTTCCAATTAAAAAAGAATTATCCAAATCGGTTCACAAATAAAAGAGTTTTGAGTTAACATACATGAAAATAATTGCGTGACAATCATTTTTTTGTCTAAATGTTTTGTAATCTCATTTATTCATCTACTATCTTGTGCACATTTCTCTGTAACCCAACACAAACACCTAACAACTATCTTGAAAGGACAAAACAAGGTCAATTCATGCTTAAATTTTTGAAAGAGTTATCCTCTAACTCCTAAAGGTCAAGGATCCTTCCATCATCAGCTCAGCAACACGACATAACGACTACTAGACGACACGTGTCATCGTCGTGACATTTAAAAACAATTTGAAAAGAGCTAAAAGGCTTTGTACATGGGTATAGGTTGACCTGTCATATAGTGGTGAAAATCTATAACGCAACGCATATTTGAACAAAGTCCGCTGTCGGCTGTTGCCGTCTTGACCATGATCCAAGTTGCTTTACAATCTTTGCTCGGAACACAGACAATTGAATCACTATCACATTACGATCGGTATAAAGATTCAACATGATCGTGTAATGAAAGTATAATAAAGTCATAAGATCATATAATAAAGTCTCACAGGAATTATTCCTAGCGCGGTAGTTGTCTTTAAAAAAAAAAAATTAAGACTTATACTCTTACATTTAAAATGAAATTACAACTCCTAAGTTAAAATAAAGTACTAGGAAATCATATGTAAATAGATGACTAAAAAAGAGAGCAAAAATATTTGTATATAAAGTACCTTTGAGTCATTACATACCAAATTACAACAAACACAACAACAGTCTTCTTACCTTGCCAGAAGATTGAACTCCTTTACACAAGCAAAGAAATACGATCAACCAGGCTGCAAATAAACATACAGCCATTTGGAAACGAATGTGGCCTGTTTCTTCAATTCCTGATGATAATCCCAGAACTTGATTTCTGCAACCAAGAATGAAATGTAAATTTATTTTTGGTTTATTTTTCCAACTTTTTAACAGACTTAAAATCTTTTACGAGGTTTTATGTTAAACTATGCATATGCGTACCTATGTGGAGGAACGGCTGTCCGACACAAAGGGAGGACCCTCCCAACCACTGATGTTGGGAAGTTGTATATATGCTAATCGGAGAGAATTGTTAATATCGCGATATAGGATTAGCTGTTACTACGTAGTTCGGTATGTCTTTGTTAGATGGCCTATGTATTTGTTAGTTGTTTTCACCGTATGTGGAAGTTGTCACATCACTCCTCTCCAAGACTGGAGCTCGATATATTGATGAGTCAGTTGTCTATGCACTGTTGTGGAGCGTGCTAGTGTCAGTAGTGAGTAGTTCCAGTAAATCGGAACTGAGTTCCGCTAATTCACATTAGTGGAAACCGAATGTCACTAGTCCCAGTGAGTCGGGACTGAAGTCCGCTGATCCCAGTGAGTCGGGATCGTATGCAGTGCGCGGTGCAGCGGTGAAGTCCCCAGTGAGTAGTTGTTGCGTAGTGGCTGGCGGCTCGTGTGGTGACCGTAGGTGCAGTGTGCTGTGCCTAGACGCTAATGAGGCCGTAGGTGTAAGCAGGCTCATACGTTCATAGCGTGATCCCAATCCTATTAACGAAATTCAAAAAAGGTTCCGTCTATTTTTATGTCAGTTTTTAATAGTGTGTTGGGATTTTGTTGCGTAATACTTTCCTATTTTAAGATTTTGACAATATTTTGAGTAAAGTCTCAAATTCTTCTGTTGCTTTTCACTGAGTGAGTGAGGTTAACGGAGACTAAACCTCCTCTCAATCCACCTACTGCAAGGAGGCAGCAACACACTTGTGGCTCTTGAGATGCAGGTGTCCATCGGCGGTAGTCAGTTACTATCTACTTTGCCTTTTTGCCATAAGGAAAAGTCAATTTTGTCTTAAGCGATGTGCAAAAAGTTTTGTAGGATCAAATTCCAAAATGGACGATGTAGGTTCTTTGAATTTGGAACCCTAGATGTAAAAATCAAATGTGAAAATTTACGTGTTTGCGTGCGTAATTATGTGCCAAACTAAATATTTTCTTTCTTTCTTTCTAAATCGCACTTATCTGTTTCATCTTAAATTTTGGTTCAAAATTGTAAAAACTCACGTGAAGTATTCCTCAGCCGGAGGGCGCCTCAATGCAGTCTTCGCTAATTCCACGATATTGTTAGCTTCAGAGTAGGTTTGGTTATAGCACTGTCTTAGGTAATAGGTGCCATTACTCACATCACAGTCGTCTGCTTCTTCGTAAGAATAGCAATCTAAAATATCATCACCAGCCTTTAATATATAACAACAACAATCTAAAATTGTAATGTAAATTATATTAAGGATCATAAAGTTACTATAGAGATAAATGATGATGCCAAAAACTTTCTCACTGTGATTATGAAAAAAAATATTCATTTTTACTTAAAAATATAGCCTTCTTCTGTTTTATAGTTTAACCATACGTACGTTGAGTACTCCAATCTGCATCACAATTTTGCCAAGGTAGTTGATAGAAAATGCTCAGGAAAGACACGGTCATATAGTATATAGTCCAAGCTATAATAAGATTGTAATACAGCATTACAATACAAGAGACTATCACCATGCCGTAACCGAGTCCTTGAAAGAGCGGACAAAACTTGTTGTAGACGGCGACGGGTCCCAAAGCTGCATACTGTCCAAACGACAACTCCATAAACATGAGAGGTAAGCCCGCTATTATCAACATGATTGTAAATGGTATCAGGAATGCACCTGTAAAGAAAACAACTTTGTTATAGGTTTTTTATGTTTGTTTTTTTTTTAAATATGGTAAAAATAAAATAATTGACTAACTTAGATTATTACAAAAGTTTAAAAATATTTGAGAACAAATTGTTGTCTGTATTTAATATTCATTAAAATAATCGTTGAAGTATTGATCTCGAAATTGAGAGATTTGAGGTTTACAAATGTTTGAATTGATTCCAAATACAACTAGGTATTAGAACATTTCGGCCGTTTGATCTAAGGACCTGGCAGGTGCCTCCCGCTGCAAGGCTCTACCCAGAAGCCTGCAGCAGTTGAAAGCCATACGGATCGTACGAGGCTATCGTACTATCTCGTTTGAGGCGGCGACGATACTGGCGCGATATCCAGCCTTCGACATTGGCCGACGGACGCGATGGTTTATGACCAAGTTGGAAGACTGCCCTGCATGGGAGTCCGAGCATCAAGTCCTGGTCGGACAGCATTGATCGCGGCAATGCTGGCGAGTGGCGATGGATGGGCAGCCGCGGTCTCCTTCTGCGAGGACGTTATGTTCCAGAAGGAGGCAACGGAGGCGACCCGACAGAGGTCGCTAACTCCCCAATCGCTGCCTAAGGGTCGTCGCGGCTACTTTTTGGGGTGATGCGGCCGCTGCAAACGACCCAAGACAGGTGACACTCCGGTTCGGCCGCGGGGTGTCGTTCTAAGGCGGGGGGCTGTTGTGCCTCTTACTGTGTAGAGCGGTGAGGGGCGCGGCAGCATCCCACCCTAGGGGTGATCATGGTCACCCTGGGATGTGCCTCAATCGTTGGGCACATCTGGGAGGCTTCTAGAAGCCGCCGATGCGTTCCTGAAGCTCCTCCCAACTGCCGAGGTAGACCGCCTCGGAGTATAGTGAGTAGACTGGTTCTCCGGGAGTCCCACACACGTCCTCCGCTTACCCAACGGAGGGTATGGTGCGAAAATCATTCCCGCGTTAAGAAAAAGGTATTAGAACATTAAAAAAATAATTGAATCATGGTTGGATTTTTTATTTATTTAGTGAGCGCATAAATTGTTCTGTTACCAAGGCACTATACCACGCTGGCCAGACGTTTCAAGTTTCCTTTCTCTTTGCAGTGCTGTTATCCTACAGAGTGTGTTCCCATAGTCGACTCTTACGATACCCACGGGATAATTAGGGGTGATGACACTCTGTATTCTCGCTCCGTCACCACACGGCTTAACACAGCCACATATTTTGACTAAGGTGTAAAGATTGTGAAGTTGTTGTTGTTGAAGATTGTAGAGTTAGAGCGTCTAGAGTTAGAAGTTTGGCTCTACATGAGATCTGCCAGCCATAGCCATATAGCCTCGGCAACTGGTCTTGGCGACATTTTACAAGAAAATTTTTTTGGTGCGATTATATTATCACGTAATTAAAAAGTGTATAATACGAGTACGTTAGATAAAGAACCTTTTCCCTACTAATGACGGTTGAGTAAGTAATAATGTACCTGTGAACGTAATAATATTAGTTGGGCTTAATATGTATAATAAATAAATAAATAATAAATAATATTGTACCACATTCACACAACGCCATCTAGTCCCAAACTAAGCAGAGCTTGTACTATGGGTACTAGACAACTGATATAAATACATATATACTTTTTTTTTTGTAAATACATACTTATTATACATAGAAACACCCAGACCAAATCAAACATTAAATGTTCATGCACACAAATGTTTGACTTGAGTGGGAATCGAACCCACAACCTTTGGAATAGCAGTCCGTTACACAAACCACTACGCCATTCGGTCGTCGTGACGTATAATGAAGTCTGATACTGTACTATTTAATTATCTGTTAGTTTCTTACCTCCTCCGTTATTGTAACACAGATACGGAAATCTCCATACATTTCCCAAACCTACGCTGTAGCCCAGCAATGACAAGAGGAAATCAAAGCGACCAGTCCAGTTGCCACGCTCCGGCTCTGCATCCTCCGCAGCCGGCTCATGGTTTAATTGTTCCTTGCTCTGATAAAACAAAAAATGTTTCATAGAATTAAATTGCTGCTATATTAAATTTAGATACCTTCTTGAAGATGTTTTTTTCTATTCGACTGATTCATTAAAGTTTTTTTATGAGCGTCTGGAAATTCTCACGGTGAACCGAATCGATGTTGAACCAGAAGGTGAATTCTTGTAATAAAAGTTTGGTCAAAATTCAGCTCCGATCAACTCAGTATGGGAATATGGCCTTCATGTAAAACTTTCATACATTTAACATTACGAACGTTTGTGAGTCATCAGCGTGACGGCCTAATGGAGGGCTGTTCCCTATGCAAAAATGGTTGTCTATTATGAACTGACTATGTTTTCCCGTCGTAGTTGATTATTTTTTACCAAATTTGGAACAACAAATTTAAATTACACAGTAAATTACTCGAAACCGTGAGTGAGGACACGCGGATTAAAGTCATGTATATTACACCAAATATTTTCAACAAAAACGGCGACAAAAAGTTATTACGTACGTTTATGAGTTGTACTTTAATTATTGAACACAAGAAGTTGACAGAAGCCAAACTAACTCATTCTACCGTACCTAAAACCAATTCATTATCAAAACCTAACAAAATAAACTCATTGTCTCAGAGCACTAGCCTAATACGGAAATCAGGGCGATGGTCACACCTATGCACTATAAAATCGTACGCAATATATGAGAAAAAGCTGATTTTCAAAAATAGCAAAATAACATTTAAGCAGAAACACAAAAAAAATATAGCGATCGTTTTGCTAGACTGCTAGTCAGGATAAATATTACACTTTAATTAAAGACTGTACACATTGTAACAGTACTGTAGACTTAGGATAGACTTAGATATCCCCTGATTTTACGGAATTTAAAAATATACTATCGATAAATCGGAGGTTCAGGTATATATACATATATAGGTTTGCGTTGAATGTATATTTGAACGGTAATTTATTGGTTTGGTTTTTAACGCCGAAATAAAAAAAATATATAATGTAATTCTGTTTCTGAATGTGTTTTGTTTGATCTTAAAGTATTAGCTAACTACATTGCATGACCAAAATTTCATATTAAAATGTAATTTCCCAATTTAAAATAAAGATATGATTACAAAATATTTAATATAGATATTGCTCATTAGACAAATGTCGAATATAATGTCACATTCTACAATACTTTACAAATATTTAAAAGATGGCGACTTTCCGTCAAAAATGCTTTTCTTAGATTATTTTGCTAGGCTAGCCTATTCATTAATTAGAATGTCCAGCTATACACTGAATATCTATTGGGTATCTAATTATAAGCTCATACGTCAAAGCGCGTACCTAAATTGCACTTTAATGTCGGCACCTTACACAGTCTTCTTTAAACAGCTGATGTCATATTCCGTGAGAGAAGAAGTAAAACGGTAGTTTAGACATATGGTATATCCCCATCAATCCTACCTGGTCATTGTTTCGGGATAAGGTATATGAGTAAGTATACATATACAGATTATATATCACATAGCTTGAATGACCTACATAGCTGAAAGACCTGAAAATCTTTCTGTATCGAATACAGATAAATTTCTGCGTCGATTAGGCAATTGTTAACAAAACTATATAAAATTACGTAAACGTTATAGGTAATGTCTAATTTGATGAACGAGTAGGTACTTACCTCAACGATCTTTTTATCCATGGCAGAAATATTTTTTGTCACTGCAGAAGCTTGGGACTGTGATGAATTAGATGACTTTGCCATCATAAATTAAATTACAACCGAAGCTATTTTTCTAAACATTGCAATTTAATCATTTTATCAGGAGTCACCACCGCATAGATGTCACAAGGAATACCGAGTATCTCACAGAACATTACACTCCACAGGACTACAGCGAAGGTCCTCAAAATTAACTGCCAACATAAGGTACTATTAAAACGCGGCCGTTTATATGAGATAAATCAAAAAGCGAGAGAGTTAAGTGTACATTAAATCGAAAAATAGAAAACGCAGGAACGCGCAGATGTCAAGTTTCGCATCGACCGAACTCTGAATGAACATCTAGGTCAATATCAAGCCTCCGCCTCCTCCGCACCCCCGCTCTCCTCTACCCCGTTGTGAAAATTTTCTTTACTTCATCATAATATGGAAATCTTGATTTTTCCTGCGTAATCTTTTAACACATCTAACATTAAATTAGAATGATTACGTGACTTTTGTCTCAGTAAATTAGTGTAATATATTTCCCACTAACAATTTGCTTGAACGTAGGTAATGGTTTCAGTACGCGTTGTTATGAACTGCTTCCTAACACACCTATTACATGTTAACGTTCCTCTCAGGCAGTAATTATGAATAATTTTTCTATTAATTATGTAGTATACCTACGTAAGACTTTACACTTTATTATTATTATGTATTAATAATATATCTGCGATTCACGTAACTTTTTTATTCAAGAACCTTTTGTCAAAGAACCTGTATTAGCAGTCTAACTAACATACTAACTCCCTTATATGTATTTAGAATGTACCTAAAATTCAAAATAGGCTTCAGCGGTTAGTATGTCATAGACATTATACTTCGGCAAAGGCTACATATAATATCTATTGGCGTGATTTTATGTTGTAACTACCTCTATAAGGAAGAGAACAGTAAACCTACATACGTATATGGGCAAAGTAATATCCGTGATATCACAATTTCCTCTTTCCTCTCAATATCTAAGCAAAGAGATGTGTAGTAGGTAAATACGTTCAAGTTGTATGGGGAAGCATTAAATCATACCTAAAGTGTATCAATATTTTTGCCCAAATACTGAATACGCCACGGGTATGTGGTATACAGACTACTCGAGTACTCGAATTTGAACCAGCCAAATAGGTAAGATTCAAAGCCCTCGGGACTTATCCAATAATCGAAATTTTATATCTAACTAGGTGTACCCTGCCACGCTTAACTGTTCGGTTTATCGGTTTATGCATAATGTCCGAGCTCAATCAGTGTAGAACTTTAGAGTTTTTGTAGCGTACACAATCCAACATTACATTTTTATATAATTGTATAGATGTATCAGCACATATAATACCTTTGCCTGTAGAAAAAATAATGTTTCCGGGGAAATAAATTTGATAAATATAATCTAATATAACATATTCATTAATTGATTGAACTGACAATACTTCATTTTTATTCCCCACCACTAGGAAAATTGGCATTCCACTACTATGCACTTTTCAAGACCCCCGCACAACCAATCTTTAGAAAAAGTTATCGTCTGTGTATATTTTCGGTCCGATACAACGTTCAAACCTTCAAGCAAAGAGCGTACTCCTTCCTCAAGGGCCGGCTTGTGACTCCTGAATTGTAGGCGTTCATGGGCGGCGGTAGTCACTTTCCATCAGATGACCCGTCTGCTCATTTGCCCTCGCTCCCACTTAAAACAAACGAGACTCCTCTAATCAGTGCCCTAACACAACGATAATTGCTAATACATTTTTTTTAGTTGCGGTCATTTTATTTCTCCAAGGACGATGGAAATCGATCTGATACAGGCCATCTTCAAGTCGCCCTAATGAATTGACAATACCGGTGATTCTTCGGAGCAACGAGGAAGAAATGCATATATTTAAGAAATAAAAATAACCATAATCACCTGCACCAATGCTTAGAATGTACCTATACCTGAATACTAAACGAAAGGAGGAGCCTGAAACACAGGTATCACAAAGAATCCTCCAGGATCCGGTGCATGACTTACCATTAAAGTTACCGAAGTCTTAGAGCGTATGTGTTGAGAGGGGCCAGTTTCTGAAAGTGTTGAAGACGAAAAAACTTTTCCTCATGAAAATTACACCAACCAGTCTCCTACAAACCTATTGTATTGCTCGAAGAGTAGGGTGAGCTCTTTTAGCGAATAATTAAGTTAATCCTGGGATGCATCGTCAAGCAACTTTGGTTTTCGGGAGTAAGGCTGAACCTGGCGGAGCACACAGTTTGTATTATAAATATTTCAACAAAGCAAATAATGACAAAGCAAAAACTACAAAAATAAAGTTTATTTGAACACCTCCTCGATGTGATTCCGATAGAAATTGAAAAGGTCTTTTCGATTTGTAATTAATGTGCGTAATCATCACACGTTCTAAATATATTAGGCAAATCCGGCTTCGATTCCAACTTCCACGCTAACTAGTAGGTTATATATATCATTTTATACAATGTCGCATAGAACTTGGTTATATCACATCACATAATTTTTGCTATCGATTGAAAGATTATGTATGAGGAAGTTGAAACTAATATAAAAAGAGGTGCTCTAGAATGACTAGAATCCATTTTAATTCTTTTAATTTCAACTGACTATTGCTTCTGTTTTGTTTAATTATGTAGGGCAGACACGGAATTAGATAACTGTTAAGATCGTCGGCTAGTTAAGTCATAGAGAGGCTTTTGAGCCTACTATAACGGTTGTTTGCGTGCATAAATCAATCAATGGTGACGGTCTAACATACATAGATTTTTTCATGGGTTCTTAAAATCCATCAATTCTCAAGAGCTTTTCAAAATGTTCGTGATGCCGGTAACTTTTAAGGTGTTATAGAACGAATGAATCAAGGATATGCCCAAGAATCGTCTTTACTCATGACCTCATACATTAGATTTGGACAATATTGGTTTGAAATTACAGAACCCAATTAGTTTTTTTTTCCTTAGTATTGTTTTAAACGTTTAAAAGTTAAATAGGTAACCGTAGTAATATAATGTACCTATCAGTTCAAAAGTATCAATCGAAAATCGTGTTACAAACTTTGACTAAGGTACATTTTCATTTTATTTATTCTATGCATAAAAAAAACTTTAATTGGAACTCCTAAAAAAATAGGTTTTATATTTTACAAGCTTTTGCCCGCGGCTCTGACCGCGTGTTATCGGTTATCACGGGAAAATAGCCTGTGTTACTCGCTGATAATGTCGCTTTCCATTGGTGTTTTTTTTAATCGGTTTAGTGATTTAAGCGTGAAAGCGTAACAAGCAAACAAATTTTACATCTACAATATAAAAGTATTGAACTGTGGATTAATACCTACATACACTCACATCTTTACCGCCTAGGGTAGACACCGACGTATTAAGTGCCCATATTTGTCGACTATAATTTTAGTCCTACTTACATAGTAGGTAGCAAGCTTATTGTCCTCAACTCGGCATATATAAATAATATGTACATGTTCAGAAATCACAGATTACAGATCCACCTAGACACAGAACAAACTATTGTGTTTATCACACAATGTTTGTCCTTTTCTTTTTGTTTTCACGCGGAGAGTGCTTTTCGCACAACAAATCGTTTCGTGTGGAACTCCCGGAGAACCGGTCTAACCACTAAACCCCGCGGCGGCCTACCTCGGCAGTCGGGAGGAGCTTCAGGAACGCATCGGCGACTTCTGGAGTCCTCCCTGCCGCACCCCATGTCTGAGGCACATCCCGGAGTGACCTTAGTCACCCTGGGTCAGGAGGCCTGCGCCTTTCACTGCTCTTCAAAGTATAAGGCGCAACAGCATCCGACCTTTGACGACACCCCCCGGTCGCACCGGAGTGTCATCTGTCTAGGGTCGTTTACAACGGTCACATCGCCCCAAGATGTGGCCGCAGCGACCCTTAGGCGGCGATTGGGGAGTTAGCGACTCTCGGCCCTCTCCCGATTCCACTCTGCGACCTCCTTTTGGAGCATAACGTCCTCGCAGAAGGAAACCGCGCCACTCGCCAGCATTGCCGCGATCAGTGCTGGCGGTGAAGGGTTTCGTCCGATCTGTCCGACCAAGACTCGACGTTATACCGGTCGGACCCGCAATGGTGGCATTGTGCCGTAACCTCCCGTCCAATTCAATTCAGATACTCACCGAAGCAACCGTGCCCGGTAAGCATCTGAGTCAATCGACCTTCGACGATGTTCTTGCTATACCAATACCATCCGGATGTACTCTCAACGCGTATGCTGATGACGACTTATTACTGGTGGAATCTGATACTAGGGAGGGGGCTGAGAGATTAGCCAATAGATGTTTGAACTGGATATCTCATTGGGGTGAATGTAATCGCTTAACTTTTGCACCAAATAAAACCTTCCAGCTACTTTTAAAAGGTAACCTCAAATCACCGCCGAGCATCAAATTTGACAACGTCTCTGAAAAAAATAAAATCTAAGTGTGTTATTTAGGATTAGTTTTAGAAAGAAGCTTTTCATTTATCGAACATATTGAAATAATTAATGAGAAATCTAAAAAGAGTTTCTGTGCATTGACAAGGATATTAACTGCGATACTACGGGGGCTCTATCATTTAATACACTAATGATCATATACCTACGAAGCTCCTTACTTAGGTTACGTTGTATGGGCCGATAGGGCAACCGTAGGCGCTGTCCGTTGCAAACTGTTACAAGGCCAATGACTTGCACTGATATTCTTGTGCAAGGCATATAGGACGGTTAGCACTGAGGCTTTGCCGGTGTTGGCGGGTGTACTTCCGGTCGATCTCGAGATGCAGAGCCGTGCAGCCATTTACTATTCAAGACAACAAAACATAGATTGCGATTTTTTGTGCGCACGAGATCGCGATAAAATTACAAGATTGCTTCAACAACAGTCCGATGTCTATAGTGACCTCATAGACGAATGCCAACAACGCTGAAGCCTGCATTGGCAGAAGACAATGCAGGCTTTGTTTGTTTTTGCATCGAGGTGCTTATTCCACAGAAGTTTACTGTCCAGTATTACTCCTAGGTATTTTGACCTCTTTGGTAAGAGCAAGTTGCGTTTCAAATAGCTTGGGAAGTCTAAGATTTCTGAGACGACGTTTGTTTGTGAACATAATCATCACTGTTTTCGATGGGTTCACTGTCAAGTTGTGTGTTACACGCCACTGTTCAACGATATTCAGTATACGCTCTCAAAGGGACCACCGATAAGGATAGACAAAGCGTCTGCATAGCATATTGTGAGAAATTTACGATCATTGAATTATGTGATGAGTTCATCCACATAATTCAATGCCATAGAAGAGGGGAGAGTACACCGTCCTAGGGGCATCCTCTAGCCACCATCCCTATAGGCACTTCGCTCACAGTAAATTAAATAGCCATAGAGCTATTCAATTTACTGTCTCAGGGTCGATCAACAGCATGCTAAGATATAGATCTTAGCGTGCTGTCGATCCATCCTGATATTGTGAAATCAACACCATGTTTAGACAGAGCTCGGCTAATGCTGGTGAAATTGGTTTTGTCAGAGGCACCCTCGATATCGATGAAGGTGGCCAGTGTTGACCTTTTGTGTTTTAGATTGCCTTCTATATGTGATACAACCCGATGTAGAACAGATTCTGTTGATTTTCCCATCGAGTATGCGTGTTAGTGGTTTTGGTGTAAGGGGTGACTGACCAACGCAGTACTATTAATTTCCCTATCTATTAGCCTCTTGAGAACTTTTAACAGAAAGGACGTGAGATGGATAGGTTAGTGTGATTTGGGTTGTGTGTAGTCACTTTTACCAGGTCAGGTAGGCGCAGGCAGGGTGCTATAAGGAGGAAAATTCGCTAAAATTAAGATCAAGACTGTTTTATGACAGGCGTGTATGTATTTTAATTTACTTCAATTGTAATATTGGGCTTATGTAGGGAAATAAAAGTAATAATTTGTAATAATAGAAACGTTTTTATTTCTTCAAAACCATATGAACTTAGTGTGCATAATATCATCAATAAAATATACAGGAATGTATCAAAAATATGCGTGGTACCCATTTCAAAACGCAAAAAAGAACCAAAAACAGTGTAAAGGTGTTCATAAAAATAAGGTAATAGAAAATCAAAAACAACACTTCTTATGTTTAGAATTAAACTTAACACCTATTTCATCTGCTGTCATAACAAGTATTCCCATTATTTGTTTTTTGTTTTTACTTCTTAGCAAGCAGAGCCTTAATGAGCGACTCCAACTTTCTAGTATCGGAGGCGAACATCCGTATGCCCTCCGACAGTTTATCAGTGCCCATCTGGTCTTCATTCATGTTCCAACGGAATTGGGCCTCGTTCAATGATATTTTCTCCAAATCGCTTTGTTCAGCCACCTTAGGGTCGAGTACCTATAAAATTAAAAAAATATTAAAGATCAGCAAAATACAAGACAATTTTTGGTAATGAAATACTTTTTGTAATATAATAGTATTATAGTTTAAACATTTGAATACTGTAAAATATACATGACTGTGTAGAGCGAGACCTACTATTTTTTCTATATTTATACATCGTCTTCGAGAATTTAGGTAGGTCTGTCAATTTCAATTAAGTATTGTTAGACAGAGCATAAGCATAGGAAATAGCACTTTTCTAGACTTCGTTATTTTATGTAAGGCTGTTGTTTCTATACAATCATTAATATCGGATTTGTATCGAAAGTCATTCTTTGTACATTGTAAAAAAAAACAGTATATCAAATAAAACTACTCACTTTTTTCATGGGTTGTTCGCTAGCAGCCAACTCCTTCAAGAACTTAGGACCGATAGTGAGGAGATCACAGCCGGCCAATTCGCAGATCTCTCCTGTGTTGCGGAAGGACGCCGCCATCACTTGCGTCTTGTACCCATACTTTTTGTAATAATTGTAGATTCGGGTTACAGATATGACACCTGGGTCGTCCTTGCCTTCGTATGTCTTGCCTGTAGATTTCACATGCCTAAAAAAATGTACATGATTAGAATAACTTGTAACCTCTGTAATGCCACAATATATCGTGAGACTTTGGTTATAACTCTTATAAGATGACGATCGAGTGTAAAGAAATTAAAATTTATAATTTCCATTACCATATTATTAGTAAACAGATAAATTTATATACTTATTGTACATAAATCTATCCTCCTTCTTCTAATCTAGCCAAACTCTGTGACTCAACAATAACTAAAAGTTATTCTGGATATGTTAGACAAGACACTATATATATATATATATATATAGTCTTGTCTATAAATATTAAACTTCTGAAATCCTCCTCCTAATAACGGTTGTCTACGAATCTAAATGGGCTGGTTACTAAAGAAACTAGTAACAATATTAGGTATTGCAACAATTGTTATCTTAATAAAATCAATTATTATATGAAACCCAGTATAATGAAAAAAAACGAATGTGCTTTAGATCACACAACTGAAGTAAAACTTCTTGGCTATGAGAGAAAGAAAATGTGTGCCCGCACCTCTCTCTTGCCCCTACAGTAATATACGAAACGTAACTCTCTCTCTTTCTATCTTCACTAACTTATATCTTCTGTTCGCCTCGCCGGATCACACTTTAACGCTCTCGTCACGCATTCACCACCTTACTCCCCAAGTCAAGCGTGCGTAAAGAAGTATTACTTCAAAAATCTGTTTGTGTTTGTGAGGTGATAAGATAACATGGTATTTATTATTCACAGTCATCCCCTTCCCCCCTTGGATATTTATTAATACCTGCTGCTAGCTTTTACGTAATGTTAGCTTTAACAACTTAGTCGCAACATATAAATAATATGTGGTACTCACCAGTCCAGTATTCTTCCAACAAATGGTGAGATAAGAGTAACATTGGCTTCAGCACATGCAATGGCTTGATACAAACTAAATAACAATGTCAGGTTGCAATGAATCCCATGTTTTTTCTCCAACTCTCTGTAAGGGAGCAATTTTATTGCGATAATGTGTTATATAAATTATTTTAAATATCTACACAGTTGTTTAAAATTATGCTGTAGTTACATACCTACATTTATTGTGTTATTATATTTATTTTTAATTATTTAACGAAATGTATAGATAACCTACAAAAAGGTGCTTCTGCATTTAAAATTTGATATTTTATATTATAGACTAGCTGAGACCCGCGGTGTTACCCGTGTTTGTTGTTATAACCGCGGGCAACGCCGCGGGGCGAAGCTAGTCTAAAAAAGTAGCCTAAGTTACTCCTTATGTCATCAGCTATCTGCCAGTGAAAGTCCCGTCGAAATCGGTCCAGCCGTTCCAGAGATTACCCGAAACAAACAGACAGACAGACAAAAATTGTAAAAAATGTTATTTTGGCATATGTACCGTGTAAACATACATATGCATTTAGTTAAAAGCGGTTATTTTAATATTACAAACAGACACTCCAATTTTATTTATTTGTATAGTAGATATTTAAAATTTGATTTGGTAGTAAAAAATAGTACACTTTATCAAACTATACGCAATGTGTGCTGGTTATACTTACTTAGCAGCTTGTATTCCTTCCCATGTAGAAGCTAACTTAATAAGAATGCGTTCCTTTTTGATTCCATGTTCAGCAAACATGTCAATCAATTTGATAGCCTTTGAAATACTGGCATCCTTATCAAATGACAATCTGAAATGTGGATACCAAAGGATATTTTAATTAAATAAGGTTTAGGTCATTAGTATTACCTTTTGCCTCGTCCGCATTTTCGTCCGCATAGAAGTTGAAAATATTTGTAAAGCCTAAGTATCACGCCATTTTCAGTAAGAATGAACTTTAGAATGTTAGGTAAAAATCCTGGGTCTTATGATCATATTATGTTGATAACTAGAATTTAGTAGTATTTTTACTTAGTAGTAGGTATTAGTACTTATGCGTACACTATATTTTCAGTTATGCAAAACTTATTACAAATTATTTATTACAAAGGAATTTATTATAACATGAGATATCGCAAATCCACGTTAAAATAATTACCCTATAGAAATTTTAAATTAGACACAAAATCAAAAACAATAACCTTAAAGAAAATTAAATACTACAAAATCAAATTATGTGAGTATCTATCTACTTAGATAAGCACTATGTTAAATCGTAAGTAAGTAGGTAACTATTTACTTACTTAGTTATGTAAAGATATTGAAATTAACAAAAATACCTAAATTGAAACAAAACTTATTACTAACTTATTTATTTAAAAAGTATTTACGGAATACGATGATATATCACAACAACAAATTAAAAAAGTAGTTCGCTGAACACAACCGTTTCGTTCCGTATGGAGCCACGCGGTATGGTATCTCGCAGAGCTAACTAGGGTTTACCTAGTCAAAAGTTCTGAGGTAACAAACATTAAAAAAAAATACAGTCGAATTGAGAACCTCCTCTTTTTTTGTAATCGGTTAAAAAAAAAAACAGTCGAATTGAGAACCTCCTCCTTTTTTTGAAGTCGGTTAAAAAAATACTTTCTTTTGTTTGTTGTTCATAAATGCCCAACGCGCCTAAAGAAGTTTTCAGTTCAAAAAACCAGACAAGGGCAATATTTATGAAATTGGTGCTAATTCTGTTGTTCGAAAACTTTCTAAACTAAATTAAAAATCTCAAAAAAATTGCTTAATAATGTCAAACAACGTTTTTAATTCTGAAAACGATTTTTTCGATTTCTGAGGCACAATAGTCGATTTTTTAATGAGAACCTATGTCTTTTTTTTGTATCCCTGACAATGTTTTATTTGCAAAATTTTACTATGGTTGGTTCAGTAGAATTTTACATATCAGAGGTTGGCGTGATAGATATATGGACAGATAGATGAGTTAGAACACAATGCTTCTGGAGAGTGAAGCAACATTTATTACAAATAAAAATAATTACCTTGCATCAATTTCTACTGAAACTCTGCCAGGAATAATCTTAAGTATTTCCAAGGCAAACAAAACACTCAGCATGTCAAGTGTCTCTGCAACTTGTTCCTCGACTGTGCTGAAATAAACAGAAAATTATTAACGATGATATTCAACATACTTTACCACTATCACCTGGTTTCTCAGGTGAAGTAGAAAGTAAAGAATGCGAGGTTTTTTATTAACTTATTATATTTACATTAGTCATTCTGGTATGGTATGAGTCAAAATGCATAAAAACAATTTGTTTGTGTGCCCTGTTCTGATGTTTATTTTTTTTATATACAAAGGTTAGTATCATATACCTGTTATGGAAATAGTAGATATAACTTACTTAATTATATAATGCATTCTACATGTTACTATCATCAACTTTAGTGACACCTTAGCATAAACTACTATTTTACATAAGAGCCGACATTTTATACTCTTATTATGAGATACCCAGTTGGTGGGTATTCTCATACTACTTAATTTACAACATACTCATTAATTTATTAATACAAGAAAATATAAAATTTCACTTTACGGAATATAATTTTGATTATTTGATACTTAAATTTTAATACCTTGTATAAATCTGACCTAACACGGCATTGTGTTGTGAAAATAACATACCTGCCAACTTCTTTTGCATATTTAACTGCTTTATCAAGTAAATGTTGGTACTGCTCCATTCCAGCAGCAGACAATATTAAGCTTGGGTTGGTTGTTGCATCTGTTGGTTTATAAGCCTTCATTGCTGTAAACAAATACATTCTCACTTAGAAGGCAAGATTACCATAACAATACTATGTCGGCACTATAACTATAACACACCTGCGTTCAAACAATGTCACACGTCAAAAAATCAAATTTTCAATATCAAGGTAAGGCAATGGTGCAATGTTACAAAAACTGGGCCTCAATTCTGCTATTTTATGTTTACGCCAAGCCAGTGTCATACCACTGACACGCTATTGAGATGCCATCGAGTGGCTATTGGCATCAGTATAAATATCGGTAGTTGAAAATATATTACGTTTTTGAGGAAATGATTTATTTGTTTTTATTATAATAAGTTAGTAAAATTAATAAATAAATTAAAATAAATTATTAAAAATATAAAATTTAAAAAAAAGGAATAAATAAATTATTAAAGAATAAAATATAAATATTATAAAAAAAGAAATAAATAAATTATTAAAAGAAATAAATACATAACTTTTTAAAATAAATAAATAACTTATTAAAATAAATAAATAAATTATTAAAAAATAAAATTATATATTTTTTTTAAATATTTTAATAAAAAAAAAAGTTTAAATTAATAAGTCATTTCCTTATAATTTGAAAATATATTACGTTTTTTGAGGAAATGATTTTTTATTTTAATAATTTATTTAGTTATGTTTATATTTTATTCTTAAATTATTTATTTTAATTTATTTGTCTTTTTTTTTTAATTTTTTTTTATGAGTTATTTTAATTTATTTATTTCTTTTAATAATATATTATAATAAAAACAAATAAATAATTTCCTCAAAAAATGTAATTTATTTTCAACTACCGATATTTATACCGCTGCCAATGGCTACTCGATGGCATCTCAATAGCGTGTCAGTGGTAGGACACTGGCTTGGCGTAAACATAAAATAGCAGTATTGAGGCCCTGGTTAGAAGCTTGTTTGGAGCTACAAAATTAGCTAAACTTAGAAAGATTGTAACAAAATAGTGGAATAAATTTCAAGCACCTTGATTTTCCCAGTTGTGACATTATTTTAGTTGAATTGGCATGAAATTGCCATTATGCTATGTCCATAAAAATGAATATAATAATTACAAACTGAAAAATGGATGCGAGAAGCCCAAAATCGATATAAAGGGCGTGCAATGGGAGAGGCCTATGCCATGTCCAGCAATGGACTGCGATAGGCTGATGATGATGATGATTCGAACTATATGTGTCTGTATAAATTTATTATTCCAGTAGTTAAGTACTAAAAGTACGAATGTAAGCTGTTATATTTTAAACAAATTAAAAAAACTTGAACTAATTGTACCTGGAGAATTCTTTATTGGAACCGATTTGGAAAATTTTAGTTTTTATTTTATGAGGTAGGTACATTGAAGTTGGTGATACTTTTTTTAAAGTTAATAAATAAATTAACTTTAAAATAAAAATAATTAACTTTCAATGAAATTTAAAAACTTTTTTTTTATTTCATGATATTGGCACATTGAAGTCTTCTTCTTCTTCTTCCTTTAATTCAGTGGCTCCATCGGATGTCGATGATTTTGCCAATGTCTAGGTGGGAGGTAGATTTATTAGTTAATAGGTTGAAAATATTTTGAATACCAAAAGGGAATTGTTGTGATTTCGATAGTTTCTGTTTGTGGTTCTGTGGGACAGTAGAGAAAAAAAAAAAAAGAAAAAGGACAGTAGAAAAAAATATAGCAGTAAAGGTATTAGGAAACTTTATAAATTTATTTTATTTATACGAATGAAATGGTAAAGGATCCTGACAAATGGGGTATATACTAGAGTTAATAGATAAGCCAAATTAACGGGTCGGGATATTTGTTGAAGGAGTAGATCATACAGAGGTACGACCAATTTAGGACAAGAAAAGAAAATATGTTCCAGAGTGCCTTCATCGAGACCACACTCACATAGAGAGTGATCACGAACTCGAATTTTGGCAAGAAAAACTGGGGTACTGACAAATCCTAATCGTAAACGAATTATAGTAGAGGTGGCTGACTTATTAACATGTTTTTGTTTGAAGAACCAGGATCTAGCAGGAATTAAGGGTTGTAGAGAGGCGTAAAATTTACCCTTGATCATTCTACTGCTTTGCCATGTGTTATTCCAGGACTCAGTCAATGAAAGTTTGGCTAGGGAGCGCAGATCTCGGGCGAAGCAGAATTTGTGGCTAGCGCATCCAGTCTGAGCTGCTATTTTGGCGCAGGAGTCCGCAGTTTCATTGCCTGCTATACCTGAATGACTGGGGATCCATGCTAGAACTACTTCAATACCAGACAATAGGCATCTGTGAAGAACCTCTTTAATTTTAAGAATTATAGGGAAATTATTGCGAGCTTTGAAAGGATTTTTTAAAAGATCTTGTAGGCAGCTCAAGGAGTCTGACAAAATAAGGGACTTATCAAGCTTATGAGATTCCACATAGGAGACCGCTTCTAATAAGGCAATAGATTCTCCTGAAAAGATAGAGTTGTAGGAAGAGCATTTATAACTTAGTATAATTTTAAATTTGGGAATCCAAATTGCAGAACCAACAAAGGCATCTGAAGAAAGTTTTGATGCATCTGTATAAAGCGTAACCCAATCAGACCAATCCTCCGCAATGATGTGGAGAAAGTTTTGGTTGGCTGCCGGAGAATGTTTATTGATGCCAAAGTCAAGGATGATTTTTGGTAGGAAGGTTAACGCATTATAGTCAAGCTCAAAAAGAGGATTTAAAGAAGATTGAAAGATAGGATCAGATAGATTTTTCATTTTAATAAAGGAATTAAGGAGCAAAGGGAGGGACTTGTGTCTCCAGTACAATGAGATAGTGGCCAGACTAGAAAGTTGAGACAGAATTGGAAGAAGGGGATGGGAATTAATTTGGACTGCATTAAAGAAGTATCTGTCAGCTAAGAATTGGCGGCGAAGATGAAGGGGAGGTTCCAAGCATTCGACTTGGAGGGCATTCACTGGAGAGCATTTCATAACACCAGTTATGATTCGAAGGCACTTAGACTGGATCAGCTGAAGCTTAGACAGAGCACCTCTATTACATGGTTCCAGAAGGAAAGAACCATAATCAAAGTGACTCCGAACTATGGCATTGTATAAAAGTTTTTGGCAAAAGGGGTGAGAGCCCCAGCGAACCCCAGATAAGGCCCGCATAACGTTCACACCCCCCTCGCTCTTTTTAATAACATGGTTTAGATGGTGAATACCAGATAATTTAGAATCAAGAATGAGGCCTAAAAACTTTATGGAATCTTTTATTGGAATTAGTTCGCCTGCTACAGAAAGGTTGATATCAGGGATATTACGTTTGCGAGAGAAAACAAGAGCACTACATTTAGAAACAGACAGAGAAAGATTGTGGTCCAATAGCCAAACGTTTAAATAATACAGAGCGGAATTCAAACGGGAAGTGGCAGTAGAGAAGGAGGATGACGAAAAATATATGGCAACATCATCAGCATATTGAAGAACTTTACAAAAAGAACTGACAGACTGGTCTAGGTCGAAAGTATAAATATTATAAAGAATGGGACTAAGCACTGAACCCTGCGGAAGGCCCTTCCATACAAGACGAGGAGGGAGAAAAGAACCTTGATGACGAATAGAGATAGTACGACACATGAGCATATTGCAGATGACGTGAACCATCCTCGCTGGAATCCTCAGATGTAGCATTTTCTGCCTGAGAAGAGGAAGATGTACATTGTCATAGGCTGCAGAGATGTCCAAGAAAACACCGATTACATTCTCGTTACGAGAAAATGCAAGGCGAATTTCAGAGGAGAGGATGCTGAGGCTATCTAAAGTGCCTAAACCTTTTCTAAAGCCATACTGGTTTTTGGCTAACAATTCGTTGTGTTCTAGAAACCATTCGAGTCTGAATTTAATTAAGGTTTCCATTATTTTAGCTAGTACTGAGGAGAGCGCAATAGGGCGATAGGAAGACGAATTTCTGGGATCTCTACCAAGTTTCAGAACAGGAATGACAATTTGGGTCTTCCAAGATTCAGGTATTTGACCATAATAAAAGATGGCATTGAGGATACTGAGGAAGAAAATTTTGGAAGAATTAGAGGATTTACGAATAAAAGAGTAAGGGATACCGTCAATGCCGGGAGAGGAATCATGAAGATTATCTAGAGCAAAGGATAGTTCTGTGAAAGAGAAGGGATCATCCATGGTATTTTGAGAGGAATCTGGAATAAACGGATAGGCAGGTGGGAAACAATCGAAACCTGGAGCATATGGAGGAGCCAGTTGGCTAAGGAAGTCGTGCAGGAATGAATGAGGGTCATTGCTAGAGATATTTGTTACGTCAAGACTTTTTTGGAATGACTTGAATTTTTTCCAGACAAGTGAGAGACTAGAGCGAGGAGATAAGGAATCACAAAATGAACGCCAACCTAAAGATTTTTTAGCAGAAAGAAGTCTAGTTGTGCTAGCAGCAATTTTTTTGAAATTGAGGAAATCCGACATAGAAAGGGATGCAGCAAATTTGTTCTCAGCCTCCCTGCGCTTCTTAACACTGGCAGTACATTCAGAATCCCACCAAGGGGGAGAAGCAGTCAATTTATTGGAAGGAAGTTTGAGGGGAATAGAGCAATCAGCAGCTGAGTTAATTGCAGAGATAAATTGGTCATAGAGGACAAGAAAATTAAAGGAATTTGTTTGAGGGAGAGTGGTTAAATTTTGATCTAGTGATGTTGCAAATTGCTCCCAATTGGCTTGGGAAACTCTGTATTTGAGGAGGGGTTGTAGGGTTTGGGGAACATATGAAGTAGAGGGGAAGTATGAAATTAAAATAGGGAAGTGATCACTACCAAGGGAGTTTGGCAGGGGGGACCAGGATAGGAGGGAGACTAGGGAAGGAGAAGATAGTGTTAAATCTGGAACACTAATATTTTGGCATGGAGAAACTCTACGAGTTGCGGATCCATCATTAAGGATGCACAAGTTGCAATCATCCATAACGTCAAGTAAGACAGAGGAGCATGAGTCAATACAGTGAGATCCCCATAGAGTGTGACGGCAGTTAAAGTCTCCTAAAACAATCATAGGGGAGGGGATAGTTGAAAGAATTGTTTATAATTCAAGAAGAATGTTTGTGTTGGGATGGGGAATATAGACAGAAACAAAGGAAACATTAAAAGCTCTGAGGGCCACTATATTTAAGCCAAGAGAGTGGTTTGGTAATAAGATTAGAGAGAATGTAATATTCCTATTGACCAATAAGGCACAACCAGCATAACCATCACTTCTATCATCCCGAAGACAAGAGAAACCAGGAATTCTAAAATGGAATTCAGGCTTTAACCACGTTTCGGAAACTGCAAAAACAACAGGTTTATGTTGATTGATCAAGTAAGAGATATCTTGTTTGTTACGTCGGATACTCCTACAGTTCCATTGCAGGACCTGGAGAGCCATTGGAAGCATTATTTTTTGTGATAACAGAAAGTAGTTGTTCAACAAGAACTGCAACGTCGTACGGTAAGGCATCTGACATTTTATACAGCATGTTAATTAAAGAGCAAAGAAGGAGCTGTACAAGATTGTCATTAGGAGTAGCAAGAGGAGTTGTTTCAGTAGGGGGGATAAGACAACAACCATTAGGGTGGATAGAAGTTGGGGACTGAGTAATTGTATTATGGGCATGAATATCATATGTCTTCCCAGACATAGATATACGGCGAGGGGGAAGGTTAACTGTTTTTTTTGTATGATTTAGAGGGAGAAGCAGATGGGAGAGGTATGATGGATGGATGAGTTTGAGGGTTTAGAGGGAAATTAGCAGGGGATTTGGGACTGGCAGCAGCCTCAGAATATAGCCGCTTGGCAAACTGTGGAAATCTAGCTGATGCTTCCATATAGCTAAGGTTTTCCTGAGACATGACACTTTTGATGGATTTTTGTCTGTTATGTTCAGGACATCTGTTATCAGTAGCACAATGGCTACCACCATGACATAAAAAACAAGATATCTCCGAGTCAGGAACCAGGCAGGAGTCACCAGAATGCGGCTGAGCACATTCATAGCAGCGGGGCTGGGACCTACATTGTTTGGCAATGTGGCCGAACCGACAACAATTCCTACATTGTATGGTAGGTAACTGGTAAAGCGACACTGGCAGAGATGCATTAAAACAAAAATTTTTTTCTGGCAGACTCTGTCCTAGAAACGTAAGGACCACAGAGTTCGATGGGACCCAAACGGATACTCCATCTTTTCTATTCTTAACATTAAGACGTCTAGCTCGAACAACTTCGCCACAATTCTTAGGGACAGATATTCCAGATACTAGTTCCTCTAGAGTCCACTCAGTAGGGATATCCCTAACAACACCCATACGAAATACTTGGAAGCGAGGAATATTTGCCACATAATTATATTGTCTGACAATTGGGGAGTTAACAAAATTATTCGCTGAGATAGCAGACATAAATTCCACACAGACTTTGTTACGACCCATATTTTTAATGGTTCCCTCTACAATATCAGGTATTTTGTTTATGCATAAAAACTGGGCGAGTTTGAGTGCCTTAAGAGACAGGCCGGATGATGGATCAGGTTCAAGCCTAGAAACATACACAGAATATGCACCCTTGTCTGATACCGAGTATTCGAGCCTGGAATCAGACTCAAATCCAGGTTTTGAGAAAATTGACTGAATCGATTCAGCTGGTGAACGTATTTTCTTTCCATCGAAGTCAACGGGAAAGACTGAGTCCGATTGTCGCTTTATAGCTTTGGGTTTATCGGGGGGTAACACACCGCCCCCATCAGGGGGGTCTTCCGCGGTTGTTAATATTCACTAACCTTGTTAGGGATTATTCCTGCAACAGAACCACACAAACACTATTTCGAAAGCACAATATGAAATTATATGCCAAAATTCAGAAAATAACCTAAAAACTCACTACTGTCGCTTCAACACACCAGAGACAACCCCACATTGAAGTCGGTGATACTTTTTTCAAAGTTATGTTTTTTTCAACCTTGACCTTCAATAAAATAATTCAGTTTTTTTTTATTTCATAATACATATGTATTACACAAGGTGAATCAATGTTAAGGAAAACATTTTATTTCCATAGATCATCTAAAGGTCAATTGAGTTGAAAACAGGAAATTGAATATATACCAATAAGTTACAAGTTAAGAACTGAATTGTTGAAATTACATGTTATATTTAACCAATGACCTCTTGTTGAACAATCTGATAATTATTTATTCTAAAGTGGTGCTATTGTGTTATATAAATTGAGTTTTGCTGAGTAGAAAGTGCATCAATTTTGCCTAGAAATATAATACTAATAATAAAATATTCACATAATAATTACATTGTCAGTGTGTCATACTAAAGCAGTTGACCCCAAGTATGGCCTTGTTCCTGAGATAGGTATCAATTTAAGATTATGATCAAAACGATACTGCGAGATGTTCAATATTTTACTGTTTTTTGTAAATGATACTACATTTTAATGAATTAAAAGTATTTTTTAGCTACAAGACGTGTAAGTAAGATATTCATATTTTAAAGATAGTGTCATCACATTAAAAACTAACAAACAACAGATAATATACAGATTGTCGATGATAACCTTCAAAGTCGCCGGTGTCAGCGACCACCGTACTATACTGCTTGAGTTGATCGAGTGCACTCATTTTGGTCCGCTTTGCTTGAGGTTCACCACTCATACTGAAGTCTTGAAAATCTTGTAACAGTTATTAAAATCACCTAAATAGAGCGTGAACAATGCGGGCAAGTTCCGACAATATTATAACTAAACAATACGTCAAACGAAAGGAAGCTGAAGGTGACCTCCAGTGTTACCGCGTACAAAAATTTAAGAAAAAAGAGCAATGTGAGTTGAGCGTGGCCGACAGACAGATGATATGTAACACAGATGGTATGTGAGATGTTATAGAGATGTTACATATCTGCGATTACTGTAAGACGCTCCTTTTTTTTTCGCAATAATAATGATTATTTTTGTTAAATTTAATACCATTTTTAACCGACTTCAAAAAAGGTGGAGGTTCTCAAGTCGTCGGAATCTTTTTTTTTTGAATGTTCACCGATTACTCGAAGACGCCTGAACCGATTTGAAAAATGCTTTTATCGTTTTAAATACTTATTATACTTATATTTATATTATACTTCCCAGGTTGGCCCATTTAAATTTTATTGAAATCGGTTAAGCGGTTTTCAAAAATCAATAAAAATCTAAAAAACTATACATCGATGATATTTTGGTCCCTTACGAAACCTTGCTGTCTCATTGGAGCAGGGCGTTTAGTTGGTCTTTGTTATTATTGTTTGAGACTTCAACTTTTTTTCAAAAGGATTTATATTATATAAATAAACAAAATGTAGAACATTGTGGGTCTCAACACTCAACAGTTAAATGTTGCATAAAATTTATGACCACCTTAAAAAGGTATTCTACAGTAAAATTACTTTAAAAGGTGCAGTTTGACAATCGTATTTTAGGGTTGAGTGTCTACAAATTGATAGTGAGACTAATAAAATTGATATTCATAACAAATGAATTTACGATCGAAACAACGGTAATCGTTTTAAAAACAGATTTACTTATGGGTGTTCATTTGGTCAAGTCTTTCACAAATATAGCTAACAATATACTCAAAATCAATATAAACAATCAGTAAAAACCGATGAATGCGCGTGACTAAATTACAGTCAACACCACATCGACCTACCTATATCTGTCAAAATACCCAATTTCAAACTTTACATCTCATTTATATCATACCAGATAGAGATCAATAGTTAGAGGATATGAGAGGATTGCATAGTTGGTCGAACGGATCACGAAAAACTGCAATGAATCACATAAACAAGAAACTGTCTTAGGTACCTACTTTTTTATTTTATTTTAGCGCCACGGTGCAGCCATGTCAGGAACTACATTGTATGTTTTCTGTGGTCATCAATATTTCACTAAGATTGTTATTATTTTTTTAAAACAAATCGGTCTCTATTCTTGATGTGAGGGCCAATGTTTCTTTGAGTTGACAACAATTAATAAAAACAACTGTTTGGTAAATTTTCATTGTAAAAATATACAAGTTCATTAGTTTTATACTAATGAACTTGTATATTTTTACACATATAAGTACATATTGAAATAAAAGGTAACATTTTATTTGATTTGCCATAAACGGATTTTTAATTTTTCTTAAAAATAAATATAAATTGATTCGCTTAGTAACTTTTTTTTTTCAAAAAAGTCAATTGAAACTGAACCGAACGAAGAAACTATTAAATTTTACTAGAGACGATCTCCGGTTGATTGATTGATTTGTTATGAGAATCGATAACTTAATCTCTACCTATCTTTACATCGAATCGCACAGTTACTGTGTCTAGTTCATCAAATGTCAAAATTTCTCCTCTTATATTAATTCTACCGTCATAACTATAGTCATATATATATGTAAAACAGTTGATTTAAAACGTTTTAAAAAAAATTGCCGTTTTAAACCCCAAATAAACCGTTTTAAACGGTTGAAAACTCGCCTACAAAAACTGTGCTTTACACTTAATTGTAGACAATTTTTGGTCACCTAACGTCAGTTTCGTTTTAATTAGTTTATAGAATATCAATAGAAAGTACCTATTTACCTACCTACGGTGGTCTGAAAAGTTTCCGACCTTACAAAGATACAAGCCCTTTTTTTAGTTTTTTTTTTCAACATAATACTATGTTGTAACTCTAAATACTTCTCCCAGCGATGCTCCCATCTCTGTAACCCGTCCAAATAGTACTCGGCGTTTTTCTCTGAAAAATAATTGTTCACGAAGGCGATTGCCTCTTCATTTGACGAAAATCTCTGTCCTTTGAGCGCAATTTTTCGCTTGGGGCTAGATCTGGTGAGTAAGGCGGATGGTCAAGCAGTTCAAACCGTAATTCGTGGATTTTTGCCATGACCGCTGAGGTGTGAGACGGTGCGTGGTCTTGGAGGAACAGGATTTTATTTTTCTACAAATGTGGCCGTTTTTCCGCAAGTTCTGCCTTCAGCTTGCTGTAATGATGCGTAGTATGCTCCTGTATTTTTTTTTTTTATTCATTTCTCATCGAGTAACAAGACTCATAGTGTTAGTAACAATTTGACATATAACTATGTTAGTAAATGAAAAATAAAAACACAACGAAACACAATGACATGAACCGGTACCTAACATGGCACATACATGGGCATTATGCTGCAGGTCCAGCAGAGAGTCTGCAACACCGGTTCACGATCGCGCAATCCATTCGGCTAGCGATCATTTTTAGAATGCTGTTGGTGCTGCCTCGCACCCTGCGTACCAGGAACGCGCATCTCTTACGCATTACTGTATAAAAGCAGTCAACGCGGGCTTCTGCAAACATCCCTGAAGCACTACAGAAACGTGGCAACCCCACCAGCACCCTAAACGCGTTGTTATATTGAACTCGAAGGGCGCTGAATGCTTTTAGTGTAAAACGATCCCACAGGCTACACGCGTAGAATGAGGTACAAAATGCACGGAATAATGCGATCTTGACCACACCCGAACAACGTGCAAACCTGCGAGCTATCATGTTAGCACGTACAGACAGCGCCCTTCGCTCCCGTTCGATGTCATTATCATCCTTGAGGTCGGCAGTCAGATTGTGCCCTAGATATTTAAATTGGTTTACTCTCTGTAGAGGAACTTCGTTTAGTTTAATGGTAGGCATCTCAATAGGTACACCACTGCTGCCGGCCTCGAAGACCATAATCTTACTCTTTTTTGCATTGTACACAAGTCCATGCTGTAATGCATACCTTTCACAAATCCTCAACAGCTTGTTGAGGCCACAGGGCGACGCACTCAGCAGCACCATGTCATCCGCATAGCTAATATTATTTAAGCACACTCCATCTATGTGGCAGCCTATCCTAGTGCCGCTAAGCTCCTCAATCAGCTCATTCATGTACAGGTTGAAGAGCGTGAGCGATGTCAACCCTCCTTGTCTCATCCCGCACTCCAACCCATACGCATCAGATCTGACCCCTGCCCACCTGACACTATTGACCTGGCTTCCATACCAGAACTTGATGATATTGAGTAGTTCTCTTGGTAATTTAGCATTATCCAGCTTTTTCCATAGAATGTCGTATGAAACCAGGTCAAAAGCTCTCGAGAGGTCGAGAAATCCAGCGTATACGGGCGTTTTCCGATCCGTATAGTACTTGACAGTCTGCTTAAGAGACAAAATAGCGCTCTCCGTAGACAATCCGGGCCTAAACCCGAATTGGTTGTCATGTGGTTGTATATATTCATTTAGCTGTGTGTTAAGCAGACCGTCAAACACCTTCGATATAATTGTCGCCAACGATATAGGCCTATAGTTATTTTTATAGCTTAAATCGCCAGTTTTATTTTTAACTACAGGTACAACCAGCGTTCCCAACATCCCGACAGGTAGGTATGCATGACTCATGCACAACACAAACAACAAGGACAGTGTCCTGGGTAGATGGGAACCCGCGTACCGCAGGTGCTCAATACTGAGGCCATCATGGCCGGGTGACTTCCCCTTAGACATCGATGATATTATTTTTTCAATATCCTTAGCACTGAACTTTATTTCCAGTTCCATTCCAGCCTCAGCATCGAGCCCACACGATGACGGTCCCAACGGCGATTTTACACTAAAGTGATTCATAAAGATATTCGCAATATCTTTTGAATCACTTACTCCTTCGATGCACACAAGGAGCCCCGGCCTTCCATTCAAATTATTTGTGGCTTTCCAAACTGATTTAAAATCTTTTTTTGAGTAATGCGAAGCCAGGATGTCCATTTTAATCTGGTTTTGTAATGGTTTTCCCTTTTTGGAGATAATCGATTAAAATAAGTCCTTGAGTATCCCAAAAAACAGTCGCCATCACTTTCCCAGCCAAAAAAAACAGTTTTTGCCTTTTTTTGGAGCCGGTTCCCCATTTGCAGTCCACTGTTTGGACTGTATTTTGGTTTCGGGCGTATAATGGTGTATCCAAGTTTTATCTACAGTAATGAATCGGCACCAAAACTCGGATTTATTGCGCCTAAACTACGCCAACAGAGCGTTGGAAATATTTACTCGAACAACTTTTTGGTCTAACGTGAGCAAACGCGGCACCCAACGCGCGGACAGCTTTCTCATGTCTAAATGTTGATTTAATATCTCGAAAACCGCTAAGTAGATTTCAATAAAATGCGTTTGGTGACCAGTCACAGACCAGGTCACCAGTTCAAAAAAAATAGTTTTGACAAAAAAGGCATTTAAAGTTTTACACTCGATTAATGTAGAGATTCGAATTATTTAATTACTTACACCGAGTCATCTCTTCCTGGGCCATATAATAGTTCTTCACCGGTTGTAGAAGATTCCAAAATATCGATTTGCTGCTGTCTACGTAGCATTCTACCTTCTCGAGTGTTATCGTTAGCGCGCTTATCTGCCACTTTCACACGTGCAGCATCCGTTTTTTCGGCATACCTACCGATGAGAATTAGCCCCCCAATTAAGTCCCATCGTATTAGTTATGATCAATGATGTATTCGTACCTTTATTGAATACACTAGTAGCTATTTGTGTATGAGTTTAAACTTTCTTATAAAAGTGAATTGTTGTTGTAAATTCTTATTAGAAATAAAAATATCTCAAACCTCAAATCCATGTAAATTATATCCAAATTATATCCATGCCTAAAAACCAGTTTTTTTTGTCTGTCTGTCTGTCTGTCTGTTTGTTTCTGGTAATCTTCTAAACGGCTGGACTGATTTTGATAATATTTTACTACCAGGTAGCTGTCTATATAAGGAGTAACTTAGGTTATTTTTCCTCTCAGAAAAACCCTATAAAAATAATCTCGGTCCAGGAATCGAACCCACTAAGGCAGTGCTAACGAAGTCGCGGTTACCAGCTAGTATTTAATAATTGTTGTAGTATTTAAGTTGTTTCTTTATATAATATACTTGTTCGTGTGAGGAAATCATATTTAAACAATGTTTTAATTCATTTATTTTGTGATCTTTGTAGTGATTCTAGATTTGTTTTTGCGACAATGCCCCAAATTGCTGTCAAATATTCTAAAAGCGGTTTTATACGAGTTTTATTTATATTTTAATCGTTTTTTTTTTGCGATAAACATGTAACCATGCCCGTATGACTACAGAAAGAGAAGTTAATTTGGTTTTAATTTAAGAAATATGTGGTGTCTATATAAAGTGCGAGTCCAAGATCAGGCCAAGATATTTTTCTCATCAACCATAAAAATTTAAATTTGGTCATTTACTTTCAAGAGTGTGTAATGTAATATTTTCTTGTTGTTTTGTAAAAGGCCGAAAACATTGGGCTTTCAGACGTTTTAGTATAACTCGACTTTTTTTTTAATAACTAACCTTTGTGTCATTATTTCTATTTAACTAATTCATAGAGGTTTTTAATTTACATAAATGAAAGTCGTATTTATGTATTCCTTGATATAAATTTATGTTCTGTAGATTCCTCAGTTAAGACTTTAATGAATTAAGGGACCTAGATATACCGCGCCATAAATCTGTCATGGCATATTCTAAATATCTGCGAGTTTCTTAAAATCTGTAAGAAAGTCTCAAATAAAAACGATTGACCCAGAGATAGTACTTTCTGATGCTATCCCACTCTATGCAAGCGTCCAGGTTGAGGACCAAAGTCATTTAATCCTAAGAGTTTTTAATTTTCTTTTAAACAATTCATAGCCCTTTGCTCCAAGTTTTTACTATGTTTTACTAATTTCTCTATAAATCTTTTTCGTTTTGCAAAGATTTAAAAAAATGAGCTCTCGATCTAAATACACACGTCCAAATTGGTTAAAGTTCTACCGCAAGATGATCTCCAGTTTTAACAAATATCTAAAATGTGTGTAGTCTAATTTTCCGATAGTCTTTTCGAAAACTAAAATTAAACATGAATCGACTATCTCAATAATTGTCATTGTAGTTATCACATCACTATTGACCACACTTCTAGAAATTTCGGGTACGATCACGAATTAAGGAATTATGCGACAGTAGACCGGCATTTGTAAGAAAGATTGATCGATTGTCGACTTCAGCAACGTGTTTTCTCTGTTCGTGTGATTCGGAAAATAGGCAAGATTTAACTGTTCTTGTTTTAAATTGAGAGAAATTTCTGTTAGCAATGGCTGCTATGTCCGTCATCGGTATTGATTTCGGTAATGAATCATGTTATATTGCTGTGGCTAAAGCAGGTGGTATTGAAACAATAGCCAACGATTATAGCCTTCGGGGTACTCCGTAAGTATCATTTATGTGATATCTTGTGTATTTAGGCACAAATAGTACATATTTTCTCTCATAATGTGTCTATCATTGACAATTATCTCAACCGTTGGACATCAGATTTATTTGCTTGTCATGTTCGAACCTTATGTGGCAATATTGCCGTATAGAACCTTGAATCTAAGACATAGGATAGGATCAAATGATCCAAAAATTCCATGCCAGCTATTTTATTCCTATAATATGCTATTACTGAATTTCCGTATTTAAACGTGTTGTAAATGTTATATTAAGCTAGGTTAGTTTAGTTAGGTACTCATTTAGATGACAGATTAATACATTATACATATTTAATTTGATTCGTTTTTATGTATAGGAAATTAAGAAAAATGCCTGGTAACAGTGTTGTATTTCCAATAAGAACAAATAAATTACTTCAAGTCTTCCATATTTTAAATTTTTGTCTTCACAATGATATGAGGCTGTGCATTTAAAAGGAATAGAAATGAATTAAAACTGATTTCTATCTTCTTTGGGCCTTATCCTGAAGAAATGTTTTTCAAACTAAATCCTTTAAAAAAAACTATATAACATGTTTCCTGTGTAAACCACAACTATAAACTTTACACCACAGGTTAGATAATGCTATCAATATTTTTTTAATTACAGATCATGTGTGGCATTTTCCCCAAAGAATCGAATATTAGGTGTGGCTGCCAAAAATCAAATGGTTACAAATATGAAAAACACTGTGTTTGGCTTCAAGAGACTGTTAGGTAGAAAATTTAATGACCCCTATATTCAGAAGGAATTAAAACATTTCCCCTATAAGGTTGAACAAAGGCCTGATGGTGGAATTGGTATAAGAGTTAATTATCTTGGTGAAGATAATGTTTTCAGTCCAGAACAGGTATGTTTATGCTTAGTAATGTTTCAGTACAAATTACTTTTTTAATATGATCAAAGACAATTTATCAATGAAAATGTTTCTATGTTGAATCTTATAGGATATCAGACAGAAAGTTGGTAGTCTAATTTGTCATTAACCTAATATTCAGCTTGTCTTCTAATACTGAAGTCTAGTTACTAGTCTAGATTGTAATATTCTTCTATTTAAGAATTGTGTTAAAATCATAAAAGTCAATTTAAACATCTATTGTAAATATTTATTTCACATTATATATATAGACAACAACTCATTAGAGTAACATGTTTTAGTCAGTTATTTCAACTTGACTATAATATAGACAATCAAACCTTATACTACAAAAAAGAGAATACTATTTGTTGTTAAAATATCCTGCATAGCAACAGATTTAATTGTATTTTCTATTACAATCAGATTGTGGGTTATGCTTTAAGTTATCTCTTTGTTTAATCAACTTCAATATGTATATGTTCTAGACTACTAAATGTACAAATGTTAAAATACATTGTAATTTTAATAATATTAAATAAATATTTAATTTCATCTTGTGTCTAAAAATGAATTGCTGTTTTAGTAAGCTAAAACTCGGGAAGGGCTTGACTGATTTTACTAATTTTGAAATAGTAATGTTTGTGGAAGTCCGGGGCAAGTTTTAACGTTGAGAAAATATTTAAAATATGCAAAGAAAATCGTAAAACATCAATTTTTTTCTCTATACTAAGTTTTCCTTCATGTCAAACATTTGTTCAATGGTTACAAATCAGTGAAAAGATGTAGGTGATATGAAGTCCACCAGGTTTTCTAGTAAAGAATATTCTATCTTGTCTATTGCAACTAATGAATTCATTTAGAATAGAATATGCTTTATTGTACACCAATTACATTATGATAGATAAATATTACAGATGGATATGTACAATGGGTGGCCTTATTGCTAAAATCAAGTTGAAAAGCAGTTTCAATTTCATTATTTGAGTTTAACAGCTTTTGTGAATAACACCCCAATGATTGAATGCACAAATTTTTACTTACCATACAGAATTACATGAAGTCAAACACTAATTATCTGTTAAACTCAAATAATGTAATTCGAACTTATTCCGCTGGGGCAACTTACACGGTAACCTTTGGATGGGAAAATTGACAGTGGATAAGTTGTTTATTCTAGTAATAATCTAGTTAGAAAAAACTTGTCTAGTTTGATACTACCATGTCTATCTAATAATATGTTAACTAGTAAAGTTACTGGCACGGATCTTGAGTGCTCGGCGGCAGAGTTTGGATTATTTTGTGCGTCGTGCACTTATGGCAAAATAAAATGCACCCCCATTTATTTTTAATTCTTTTTACTTAATGGGAATTGAAATAGATTAAAAACCATTAGACATTACATAGTAAAGTTACTACGTAACTTCTTATTGATTCAATGGTAAGACAAAATGGTTTAAATAAAAAAAAAGTTTGGTGTTTATTTTTGTTTAACAAATATTTTTCCTAAAAAATTATTACAGTGTAATAGAAGTGACATTACTGTCTTACATAAAACAGGTACTGCAGTTCTTCTTTTTTTGTCACTTCATTTATTGAATTATAGGTACTTTATATGTATATAAAGAATATATTACGCTATCTAATACACTCACATAAAAATCTCAATTTTTAACCGGAAAATAAAATGTATGAAAAGCAAAAGTAGAAATGATTAAATTATTTATAAAAAAAGAAAGACCCTATTAACTAACTCGACAGTGTACTCGTCGTAGTTAAGTACGAGAAAACGAATCAAGAGCAGCTACAATCTATATCTATTCTATATCTATCTATATCTATACAAATAAATAAAATTGGAGTGTCTGTTTGTAATATTAAAATAACCGCTTTTTACTAAATGCATATGTATGTTTACATGGGACATATGCCAAAATAACATTTTTTACAATTTTTGTCTGTCTGTGTTTGTTCCGGGTAATCTCTGGAACGGCTAGACCGATTTCGACGGGACTTTCACTGGCAGATAGCTGATGACATAAGGAGTAACTTTGGCTACTTTTTTTAGACTAGCTTCGTCCCGCGGCGTTGCCCGCGGTTATAACAACAAACGCGGGTAACACCGCGGGTCTCAGCTAGTATACATCTATGATAAGAAAATATTCAATTACAGATAACAGCCATGCTATTTACAAAACTGAAGGAAATTGCTGTCAATGCACTCCAGACTCCAATCAATGACTGTGTAATATCTGTGCCTAGTTATTTCACAAATGCTGAGAGAAATGCTTTACTGGATGCGGCTGGTATAGCTGGTAAGTAACAAGACATCTTATGTATTAGATGTGTTTTTAAAAATGTCTGTTGATATACAACAATCTTTGTCTATTTTCAGGACTTAATGTACTGCGCCTAATGAATGAAACAACTGCAACTGCTTTAGCTTATGGAATTTATAAACAAGACCTGCCTGCCCCTGAAGAGAAGCCTAAGAATGTTGTTTTTGTTGACTTTGGTCATAGCTCCCTGCAGGTAACTTGATAAGAGTTTTTCTTATATAGCTATATTTTCATAAAAGCTTAGTAGCTTACAGTACCAGAAATGAACACTGCTCAGTAATGTTATTATTCTGTAAATAGAAGATCATTTTGTGCATCAATTCATGTCTCCTTCGAAGGATATATGAATTGTGTGGTATTAAAATCAGTCCAGTGTTTCATAAGGTTTATTTTCTTTTTAAACATAATATAACTTTAAATATTTTATATTAATTTTGTTGACATATTGTACACTTGACTTTTGACTTGAGAGTGACTTGAATTTGCTATTGAGATTGGTGTGTTTGTTAAACTTTGAAAACACAATTTCAGGTTAGTAGTAGTAGTAGTAGCTATTTTCAGGCAAAGACTTACTCTCACATCTTGTAGGTAGTAATAGTGTTTTATAAGGTTTATTTTCTTTATGACCATATAACTTTAAATGTTTATGTAAAATGGAATCTCAATAGTAAATGATTATTTTTTTGATATATTGTACACTTGTTTGACTTGAATTAGATCTTGAAAGAGGTGTTCATAAGATTACAAATTAAAATTTGAAAGCTGGAAATAAGTGGTATATTGGGGCAAACACTTCACAGCTATGTAATAATATGCCAGTATGCCATTCAGATCAAATGATTGGAGTATTGTATCTTCCATGTAAGCCATAAGGCACATATTTTATTTGTATTTTATTATTTTAGGTGTCTGCTTGTGCCTTTAATAAAGGCAAATTACGTGTTTTGGCAACATCATCAGATCCTCAGTGTGGTGGCAGAGATATAGATATGGCCCTAGCTGATTACTTCTGCCAGGAATTTATAACTAAATATAAGTTGGATGCAAGAAAAAATCAAAGGTAAACATATATATTTACATGTTGAAACTGAAATGTTGCTTTTCAAAGAAGATTGATTTTTAGTAGTCTATTTGTTCTATCTGGGTGTATTTTCTTTATATGTATAGAATATATAGAGAAAGCAACAACCACACCCACAATATGTATTTAGAAATATAAGGATCCTCATCAGTAGTGTGATCACCATAGCACTATGGATTGAAAAATCTTTATTCTGTTTTTAGAGCCTTCTTACGGTTACTCCAGGAAGTAGAGAAATTGAAGAAGCAGATGTCAGCTAACAGTACTAGATTACCGATTAATGTTGAGTGCTTCATGGAAGAACGCGATGTTTCGGGTGACTTGCAGCGCTCGCAAATGGAGCAGATATGTGCTGAGACATTCACACGTTTCGAAAGAGCTCTTAGAGCTATTTTACACAATGCTAGTTAGTGTATATTAAAATTATTTTTATTTTTTTATGGTATAGGGTCAAACAAGCAGCCGGTCATCACTGCTAAAGCCGGCCTAAATGTGTCACTGCATGGCTCTTCCCTACTTATAATTGATTTTGAAAAGTACATTTCGTATTATTTTTTATGTTAAAAATGCAATATATAACTGAAAATTATAATATGCAAATAATTTTAGTGCTTCATACTATTTTTAGAACTAAGACCAGAAGATATTCATTCGGTTGAGATTGTCGGTGGATCTACCAGAATTCCAGCTGTTAAAAGTCTGATTGAACAAGTATTTAACAAACATGCCTCGACAACCTTAAATCAGGTAATACCCTAATTTTTTAATGTATGGGATTTAAAAGAATAAGAAAGAATTCACATTGGTAATAATTATCTAAACAAAAACCCATATATACCTCTGTAACACTCGACTTTTTAGGACAGTGTACCGCATTAGTGACTAAAAGAAGTAAAATAATCAATTTTGTCAAAACTTCACAAGCAGGTCACCGTAAATCGGTTTAATGTCTTTTATTCCTTATCATATATCATAAACTAGTTTTTTGAGGCACAATGCAAGTAAGTGTGTGCGTGTGGCAGGACGAGGCCGTGGCCCGGGGCTGCGCGCTGCAGTGCGCCATGCTGAGCCCGGCCGTGCGCGTGCGCGAGTTCAGCGTGGCCGACGTGCAGCCCTACGCCGTGCGCCTGGCCTGGGACGCCGCCAAGGGCGAGGACGGCGACATGGAGGTGAGCTGTGACTCTCGACTGCATACTTTCTAAAGTGTGTAGTCAACATTTAGTGAAGATTACTTCGGATACCTGTGCTTTGTCGACGCGTCATTTTTATCATCGGTTTCAGGTGTTTCCTGCCTTCCACGCCGCGCCCTTCTCCAAGATGTTAACCTTTTACAGAAAGGAGCCTTTCTCCGTTCGTGCTTACTACTCCGATCAGATTCCCTTCCCTGATCAATTCATCGGTATGTATTTTTGAGTTTATTTATGTTTTCTTAAGAAAATGTAATACAATATTTAATGTAAATTCATCCATTTGTTTTACATTTTAATCAATTACAGGACAATGGCAGATCAAAGATGTACAACCAACATCGGAGGGAGAATCGCAAAAAGTAAAACTAAAAGTTAGAGTGAACATACATGGTATAATAACGGTTGCGTCCGCTTCGCTCGTTGAAAAGAAACAAGACGCTCAGAATGAATCTATAGAGATGGAGAACACTCATGACAATGCCCAAGGCCAGGAGGCTGCCATGGACACGAACGGCGCCAATGTAGATCAGCAAAATGGCCCTGAGAACCAAGAGGTGAGAGACGACGAAATGAAGGGGGAGCCTCAGCAAAAACAATCGTGGACACAGAAAGTAGGATCGTGGTTTAGCGGGGTACGTGTCGGTAGAGCGTGTGTCCACATCCCGTGCTGTTTGTTGCCCGCCATCATCTTAACTTCTTAATTTCTAACATGTATTGGTTACTTACTCTAACAACTCTCAATTAATTTTTTAATTTTATTGGCAGCAGACATCACTAAAATCTGTTTCGTTCCCACCCTCTGTTTGAGGTCCCATTTGCACTAATTAATTGTTTTATGAGGTCTTATCACCTCTTACCCCTTTACAACTTGTTTTTATTCGTTTAGACTTACTTATCTGTGTCCACGCATGTTTATGTCAAGCTTCGAGTTTTTCATTTCTATTTTTGTTTTTTATTTTTCGTTCTACAGAAACCTTGGAATATGGGGAAGTTAAACATTTATTGTATTTATGTTACACTAAATAATTTTTGATATTTTATTTATGTAATAAATGCAAATGGGTCACCTCACTGCTTGGAGTATAAATGGACATTATCTTAAAATGTGGAAAATAGTTGGTACAATAAAATTTGTTAATTGCAATGTGTGAACAAGCAGTGATGGTGGTGGGGAGTTAATTTTCATGTAAGTGGTTTGAACTTGAGCACTCACTTTCAGGAACACAATGATGATAAAAAGGATAAAACAAAAGAAAAGAAAAAGGTCATCGTTAAGACAATTGAACTGCCTATTGATGCTCAAACACATGGGTATTCAAAACATGAACTCAACACCTATATGGAACAAGAGGTATTTATTACTTAAGCTGTTTTAAGGGAATACCAAGACACATTAACAAAAGAAAAAAAAACATTCTTCTAGAACCATTATGTGTAATATGTATATTCTTGTAGGGTAAAATGCAAGCTCAGGATAGACAAGAGAAGGAGCGAGCAGATGCACGTAATGCTTTAGAAGAATATGTATATGAATTACGTGGAAAGTTGTCAGAGGGTGAATCCCTGCACGACTTCGTAGCTGATGATCACCGTAGTCGGCTTGTTAACCAACTGGATAGCCTGGAGCAGTGGTTGTATGATGAGGGTGAAGACCAACATAGACAGGTAATATGATGTTTTATATATACAGGGAGACTTGGAATTTTGTGTCCAAATTAACACAGAAGAATCCTTAGCTAAAGTGTATGAGAAACCCGCATTTCAGTTTAGTTGCACATGGTACAACAATATTGAGTAATTAGCATCACAAAGTTGTCTCAAGAACTCGCAATTTGTAGACATCCTGCCCCCGTTCGTCGCGCAAGTGTCAATGACCTCTCCATCGGTATCGCATACTTCGTAACATTTCGCGACGGGTGCGTGGGTGCACGCCGCCAGCCCCCTTCGCTCAGCGTTCCCGTAACGCGAACAAATCTGCTTGGATATGCCCCTATATCACGCGCAATAAGGCTTAGTAATATTATTTCAATACATGTAGATATCTACAACTGTAACCTGCAGAACTTCAAAGAAGTTGCCCAAAGGTGTATTACAGCAAATGATTTTTCTTTAGGAAATAATTGTTACTTACTGTTTTTACTTACAGTATCGTTTCGGGATAAGGATCCTGTAAAGACACTGTAAATGTTTTAAATAATAAAATACCTAACATGACATCCAAGTACAAAACTTCACTTAATTAAAGGGCACGTTTGAAATAAGTTAAAAATACATAACTCTGTAGTGATATGTACAATAATTAATAAAAAAAATGCAATTAGAGGTTAACTTGCCACTACTGTTTTACATGTATTTTAATAAATGTTGAAAATGTAGTCTTCTATATATGATTCAAAATGTAGTCTTGATCTTGTCCAACGACGTGTGGGTTGCCATATGACCACCAATGTTCGTAATGTTGGTTGTACAAACCCACAAGAGTAAACGAGGCCTCGTCCGTCCTCAAAATATTGGCATCGGGGTGTGCAATAAGCCACTCGCAGAATTGTCGACGAGGTAAGGCGTCTGTTTCTTGAAAGACTTGGACTTATTGATATTGGCTTGCTACTGCGAATTGGCTTACGCGGAAGAGTTGCGCTGCGGGCCCGTGTGCTTGCTCGGGGATCCCGTTCAAAGAAGTCGAAGATTTGTTCTTCGACCTCTATTGCAAGTCTTGACCTTGCAGTACCCCTTGCGTGTGACGGGGTTCTAAACTGTCCATAGTCTAACAGCCTCTAATTTGTAGATAAAATGGTTTAGCGGTTACGCACCGATATATTTAGTATACCTTGTCTTCGGAGTCGTGGTATACTTTCCGGCTCCTACAAGCGCTGTGGACAATTTAGGCTTCCACCGCTCGCTATTAAAAAACATTGTTTACACTGCTTTTTAATAGCGAGCGACCATTTGACGTCACGGAAGAACGAGCGGTAAACACAAAGGATTCACGCACGCGACAAGACTCGGCTGCCTCGTCTTTCTCTCACTGTTTACATTGCTTTCTTTCTCTCACTGTTTACGTAACTAGTATAAGACTATTTTGTACGTTTGAATAAGTGACCACGCTGTTAAATATTTTCTTCGGGATGAAATATTTTATGTTGAAAATTTGACCTACCATTTTTTTGTTGTAAAAATAGGGCCCTTAAATAATGTCTAGTGCCTATAAATATTAATCACAGTGATAACAAAGCTACTTCCATGTTTGCAAACCCTCTGTAGAAGTCTGCTATTTATCTGAAAATCATTTTGTATCTCTGACATCAAAGTCAATCACAAAAAAAAATTGTGTTGAGCAGTAAGGTTGAAAAACTTAATTATAAACTTGAAACAAACCCTAACCTGTCTGGCTAGCCTGATATAGTGAACCTCCTTTCTAAGGAGAGGCCTTTGTCCAGCAGTGGACTAGTAAAGGCTGTTGATGATGAGAGCAGTGAGACCTATTCTTTTTACACAGTTGTATAAGAATTAGTTTGCTTATTTTTCAGGTATATAGCGATAAATTATCTGAGTTACGAACTGAAGGGGAGCCGATCAAACAGCGGCGTCTGGAATATGAACTCCGCCCAGGTGCATTAGATGATTTCGCACTATCGATTCAGTTAGCAAACAAAGGTGTTGATCAATACAAGTGAGTAGATGTTTGTGTATTAATATATTTTTAACACCTTAATCCAGATTGACGTGATAAACGTTCACCCGAACCTTGACGAGCAACCATCATCAAGATTAGACTTATTCAAAGTAAGTGCTCAACCCAGAATTTGTAATGGGCCAATACAAATTTTGGATTTAAACAAACAGTTTAAACTAAAGGTTAGCCTTTTCTTTACACAAGAATTAACCCGATTATAGGTTTTGCACATGACACTGGCTGGTCACAGACAGTCAACTCGTGGCCATGACCAGTACAACTTGGTTGGAACAAACAAAACAAAAAAAAACCTTTATTTCCAGGGCTGGTGATATTAAGTATTCTCATTTATCTGATAATGACATCCAAAAAGTGTCAGAAGCAGCAAAGAATGCCTTAAATTGGCTGGAGACCGCTCGCCAGACTCTCGCTCACACCCCGCGCCACCAATCGCCTCAGCATACCATTCACCAGATTCGCCAAGAAAAACAGGTATTTTTTATAGACCATACACATTTTTAATACATAATGCTTTGAACTAACTGCTACATAAGGAACAGAACCAACCATCACAACTTATCAATGTGTGTAATTCCCATTCTTTAACTATAGTAAGATTTGTTTATTTGCTGTAGACTCGGTCATAAATAATAAAAGCAGATTAACAATATTGCGATCCTACCCTGTCTCTCCTACTGGGTCGTTTATGCCTCCTAATATGATTTCGCGCATAGTACGTTATTTTACGTCAGCCCATGCAACTTTGGCATGTTTTTCTCGTCACTCGTTTGCAATGCAAATATATTACTTTACTTGTTTCAATAATATGCCTTGTTTTACTATCTGCCAAAGCAAAACTTGCGCTACAACTCTAGGAAATTGAAGATTAGACAATACGGTAGTTGTATGTCGAGTCAAATCACTTACTAAATGACAAAAATATAAAAGATACAGATATACCGCGATGAAGTGCGCATACTGCTCTGCTAATCTAACTGCTTTCTATATTCGTAGCATTAACTTGTAAATACGAAAAAAATTGATACAAAATACTTAATCGTTTTTATATATTTTTCAGACCTTCGAAAATATTGTTAACCCCATCTTAAACAAACCCAAACCTAAAGAAAAAACCCCACCGCCAGCTAACCCCACTGCGGGTGATGGACAGCCGGAAAACACGCCCAGCGATGCACAACAAACACAAGAACAAATGGACGTTGAATGAATAACACCTTTAGTACTATCTGCACATAATACTGAATCATAGTACTAAGTAACAACCCCACAGCATAATATATCACTTTAAACAATAATATTCTTACAGTTGAAAGTGAAGGTAATAAATAGAACTTAAATTGCTTGAGAATCGATGGTACAGGGTTATTACTTAGTGTTATGTTGAAACCGCGTTGTCCGCACTATAGGAACACTCGGTTAAATTAATAGTGAATATTTATTTTTATTGAAATAATGGAATGACTATTAATTTTTTATGTTTTTCTGTATTACGCTGCCTTTAATTACCTGTTTTCCTGGCTAATAACGAGTATGTTAAATTCTCAGTATGTAATGTATAACCCCAGTGTATTGACCTAATATTTAGTTACATGTTGTACACTTCCTTAAATGCATTTTTATTTTATTTAATGTGATAAAATTGTATCTAGTAATAAAATTTAGTATAGCCAATAAATTAATAATGTGAGCACATCAATATATTCTAGGATGGAATCGGATGTAATGATATTTTTCATTTTACTACTTAAACTCTTCTGAGTCAGTTACTTACACAAGAAAACACATTTTAAATTTCACCTGGTGTGCTGCTCCAGTTAAGATTTTTGTTTGTTATTTGTTTATACATTTATTTTAGAAACAGGGCTAAAATTAATTAATGCTGTACTAAAAATATTGAGTTTAATCATAGGAAGTGGTAGGCTACCACTAAAATATTTAATAAATTTTTCCATGTGTCCCTGGAAAGTTATGCAATATCAGTATAGAATCTTTTTACTAGTCCATAGTACTCTGCCAGAGACACTCGTGTATAAAAAGAAAATGACTTCTATTGACACGCTCACTGGGGACGTATTGACAGTCGTAGTTGTGTGAGAGTTGTTATCAAATTCAATCCATCCTGAATTGATAAAATATTCCTAAAGAATTACTTACTTACTTACTTACTTGTTGGATATTTTAGGCTTGTACTACAGACGATGTACTTTGAACATTCTTATAAGAGTCCATACATGTTAAATGTATCATTTTTTATATAGTTCTGTAAATACGTCCTTATACTGGGATGCGCGACATCTTTTCAAAATACCTTACCTATTATGTAAAAAGAATAATTTCTGTGTTGTGTACTTACATTATTTTGTAAGACTTATCACCAACTTTGCACCCTTATAAACTGAATTCAATATTACAATATTGATAAAACTATTTTGCATAATTTAAGAGTTATCTCTAGTGTTGTTTAACGAGAACAAATTTCTACAGAGAAAGATACTATAGTTACTAAGTTTTACCATCTGGCCTGGTGTAATGATCGAAAGGGTAAGGGTTAAGCGCATAAATACTCTAATGGTCAAGCATATTTTCTAGCGTAAGAAACGCAAGACTATTCTAGCAGTCGCTCATATGACCAAGCATTTTCTTTATCCTGCATTCTATCTAACGACCACACGCGAATGTTCGCGAGATCGGCAAGTTCAAATTCTCATTACTTACATACCTTATCCGCTGTTTGGCCAATGTCTCAAGCTATAATTAATAACAATATAATAAAAAAATTGTTATTATAATTGCATTTAATAGCTATCGAAATCACTTGTTTCAGTTAAACATTCCGTACCTTATTCGCTAGGCCGCTAAGATCCTAGTGGTATACTTTTTTCTTATATTCACCTCCACTTATTGTGTATACTTTTGTTAATTTTGCAATGCATCACAGATTTCAATATTATGTGAGTTAGTGTTAGTGAGACACTGTGAGCGAAACAAATTTGAAGTGCACAGAATTCTATGTTGCGAAAATAATACATCAATCGATCTGCTAGTTTAACTTGGTCTATGTGTACATTTGCAAATATGTGGTTCAACCGTGCTAGTTATATGCATTGAAGCTTAGTAAATGATTAATTTAACATTTTCAAATCTTTTATTTTCACCAATCTACGAAGAGACACTAATACAACAAATTTGTAAGTCTATTAAAAATATTCAAATTTTCCCGTTAAATACTCATTCAATAGGTTTTGCGTATGGTCCAATTCGCTATCGGTCAAATGACTGAAAACCCGTCAAAATAGCAAATGGTCCATATCGCGAATAGTAAATAACCTAATTTTCGATTTTTTGAAAGAACCCCAACTACCAACTTGTTGATTTTTTGTTGACTATTCGCTGTTTTGACGGATTGCGATTTTCACAAATTTAACCGCGTAACGATGAAATATGTCTTAAGATTTTTATGAAATGGAAGAAATAATAACAAATATTTTAAAATAATAGTAAAAGTGTAAATCTATTATTACTTTTTTTCTTTTTCTCGTTTTTCTTTTTCTCTTTGTTCTCTCTTTTCTTTACATGGATCAGGATTAGGATCAACTTCATTCATATAATCTCTTGGATCTTTTCTCTTTGAGAGGTGATATGCCTCCTCAACTCCCACGTAGGTAGCATAGCCTAGGATGAAAACTGTAAAGTAAAACAAAAAATTAAGAAGCGACACAACTTCAAACTACTTCATTAAAACAAGAAAGAGTTGAATTTTAGAAAAATATGCCTAATAACTATAAAATATACCTACACTTTTCTTTCCTGACTCAATTAGATGTAGGTACTGACCGGATGATGAGACGACTAAAACAAATGAACCATACGCATTCCACAAAATGTCGAATACGCATAATATCAAACACGTACATTGTCAAAAACGCCTAATGTCCCTGATGTACACTGACTCATCCACTGTATCAAAATGACCACTTTAAAAATCTCCATTTTACCAAATAGTCTGTTTATCAAAATGTCCACTGACCGAATTGTCCACTTTGTCACAATGGTGGACATAAAGAAATGTGAACCTTGTGATTGTATGGATTACAGAACAATGAATAAACATTAGATGTGCGATTAACGGTCAATCAGAAGAGGTCCGTTGTCGCTTGGATGCACACATAAACGATAAATAATATTTTACACATATAAAAAAGTTTACGCTAATTCGTCCGACAGGATTTATTGAATATAAATCCTGAACACCACCTGTGATGTTACTCAATGCAACCTTATAACTTTTCAAGTAGCGTTTTACGCGAGCCATATTGTTGTGGAGGTAGTTCGGCAAGACATCGTAGTCATGTAGTACTTTTGCCATTTATCGAAGAAACCTACGAGAATAATTTTTAAGTAAATTATTTATTTGACTACTCCGCTGATTCTTTACGGTGGATGGGATAGCGACAACAGTCTGCTCCAATTTCAAGTACCTCGGCTCCCTCTTACAATGTGATGGTGAGATTGATCGAACTGTACAGCATCGGTAGCGTGAACGGTGAACATTTTAGCAACTGGTGAGATTGTTTCGACGGTCTTTATAAACATTGTCGGTTTGTTATTCCCCATTCTTCGAAGCGCCTGCTGGTTTCGAATACTTCTGTCCTGACTTTTCTTCAGAACAGCCAATTTAGACCCCTACCGGCCATCTTACTATTCACTAGTTCTACTTCTTATTCAACATGAAGTGTGCCAGGTGTATGAAGACTATTAAGGACCCTCACTTAGTTAGATGTATGTCTACTGTCTGCGATAAAAGTGCAGAAGGCACGCTATGTATAAATGTTACGACCCTAACTGCAGACCGCAAGAAGCAATGGAAGTGTCCTGATTGCTGTGCTTCGCAAAAAAAGGGTGGGGATAATAGTCTCACCCCTGTTCGGGTTGCCTCTGACAATTTCACTCTTCGGAAAAAGACTGAACTTCAGAATCTACGGAACCTGATCTGACCAAGCTCACCGATCAACTATGAGCGATGACTGATGCTTTCTCTGCCCTTAAGGCACGATTTGAGGATTTGACGGTGTCTCTGTCTCACTTATACGAGCGAATGGATGAACTTATGCTAAAGCTCGGCGCAGCCGATGAGCGGTTGAAATATCTGGAGAAACAAGAGGCAGAGGTTACTACCTTACAGACTACAGTAACTCTACTGCAAAATGAAATAATGGGGCGCAAGCACAATCCAATCTGCGTAACGAAATCGGCATAGTTGGAATAGCTGTGATTGCCAACGAAAATGTACCTCGCATCGTACTGGTTGCAGCCAAGAAAATAGGAATGGAGCTGGAAGGTAGGGACATTGACTAGGTAAGTTGCGCCGCCCCCCTGTAACCACTTCTCTACATGAGGACGGAGCCAAAATGCCACGACCAATAGTTGTCCGACTTTTACGCCGATCAAAGCGAGACCAACTCCTTAGGGTCCTATTCCTACGAAGTCGCGAAATAATTTCAGCAGTTCTGATCTGGGTGAGTGTGGACTCGAAGAGTTTTCTTCAATGAAAGATTAACTAAGGAAAACAGTTTTATTTCGTTCCACTAGGATCCGTGCCAAGCAACCTTTCTGCTGGTGCAGCCAAGGTGCTATCGACGTTAGGCAGAAGGAGGGTCCGCCCAGCCGTCCACATACGATTACCGACTGACCTGGCAAGTCTTCTTTTACCATCTTTAACAATAGAGGAGACTAAGGAAGGAGAGAGGAATCCTGCAGTCGCCGCCAGTATCCATTGAACTTTTGGGTCTAAGCTCGCATCAAAATTATTTACCAAATCACATTAAAAGTAACTGTCTCCCGAAATATGAGTATTTTAAAGCCCTGTTTTGTAATAGCTTAAGGTTTAAAATAAGTCCGACCACACTTATGTTTTGTTCTATGTTATTTTTTTCTGATAAATTGTAGTATAGTTCTCCAGAGTTACAACTATGTTGCTGAAATTCAGAAAAATATAAGTCTATCTCTCCTTGCATTATTGGTATGTAGTAACACTAAAATATAATTATGTTACTGGTGTGCAGCAGCTTCTTTGTTTTATCTGTGTTTGTCTCATTGGTTTCTTGTTGATATATGAAGTTGTTTTGGTGACTAAGAAACTAAGTATTGTTCTTCGCTTAAGATTTTTTCTTGCTTTCACAATGACCAAAAAATTTTTATATTGTATCTTATCATCAATCATCGTCAACAGCCTTTAATAGACCACTTCTGGACAAAGGCCTCTCTTTAGAAAGGAGGTTTTGGCCTACTATATCACGCTGACCAGACGAGTTGGTATAGGGTTTGTGTCAAGTTTTCCTTCTCTTTGCAGTGCTGGTTGTCCTGCGTTAGTTCTCTTAGTCGCCCCTTACGACACCCACGGGATGAATAGGGGTGGTGAACTCTTAATCTGTCACCACATGGAAAGCCGTATCTTATACTGACACTTAATAACTATGAAAACGGGCACTACTTTATTACGCCAAGTGTGCATATGTGAAGACGCTGTGCTCATGGTTGCTTTGGATCTGTAATTTTTACTTTATGCTTAAATGATGTTCGCCGATGAAGTGGCATCAGAGTTAGATTCTTTGAATATAAAATTTGAAACCGGAAATGGTGTATTTCGTTGTAAACATATCCTCACAATGCAATACAATTTCAGATTATTAACAATAAACATTCGTAGCATACAGAGAAACTTTGACACATTACTGGTGGCCCTAGAACGATTAGATTGTCCTATTAATGTCTTTATTTTAACCGAATGTTGGTTTAATGACTCATCACTTATACCAGTCGTACGTGGATATAACTCATTTAACACTTACAAGCACACTATTTAACCTTGGAAGAGGCTGATTGTTTAGCTATCCATATTCCTAAAACTGTTACCATTCTAGGAATAGGTATATCGCTCGCCATCCTGCAGGAACATAGATAACTTTCTATCATCACTTGAATACTGTCTCGATGAGTTTGCTAGACTGCCACTAGAAAATATAAACATTGTGGATACTGTAAATAACCGGCACAGTATGGAATACCAATGTTTAATGGCTGAAAACGGGTTACTTTCAGCTATAACTCAGCCCACTAGAGCAGCAGCTAGCATTGATCATATCTTGGTACGCGACACTGTTGTTGGCATTGTATGTCAAATCGACATAACGGATTATTGCCTAGTCTTGGTAGGCCTGCGTATAAATGGACAGAAACCTGACCGACCAAACCGCAAGAATGAGTGACTACAATGCTATTAAAGCTGAACTCGCGCTTATCGACCGGTTAACCGTTAGCAATAATACTGATGTAAATAAAGCCAATGAAATATTTTCTAAGCTCTCGTTAGATATTGTTCACAAACACACGAGAGAAAGAAAAGTAAATAGGACTAGTTATACCCTTAAATCTTGGATTACCCCTGGCTTAATGAGATGTATGCGATACCGTGACAGACTACATCTGCGTGCTAGAAATGAGCCGAACAATTTAATCATTCGGAAAAGCTACACTCGTTACCAAAACTTTTTCGTCGATTTATTACGTAAACTAGAATCTGTATACGAACACAAACTACTACAAGACACTAAAAATAACACTCAATTCAAAACATCTATAATTGGCTAACCTGACACTGGCTAAGCTTAACAAAAATGAGGCAGACCTTGCACGAGCAGTTTGTCTTAATCAATCTCCAGTCGAGTCGTTAAGAATAACACATGAATGTGTCTTACTGACATTGACGAAGTTGGAAGAGCATAATTACTGGCTTACAAAGTGATAAGGCACCAGGTAACTCTCTTATTAAACAGAAAATTGTATCGGCGGTATTAAACCTTAGTCTGTCACTAGGAATCTACCTACAGAAGTGGAAAACTGCTTTGGTTTAACCAATACACAAATTTGGACCGAAGGACAACCTCAATAACTACAGACCGATATCCCTTCTGGGAGCCTTTTCTAAAATACTCGAAGACTAGTTAACAGACGCCTTATCTGCTTTCTTGAGAATCGCAATCTTATTTCTTCTAATCATTTTGGCTTCCGCAAGAAGAGGAGCAAAAAAAAGCTGGAAGCACTGGGTATGAGAGGAACCACACTAGACTGGTTCAGGAGCTACTTGACGGAGCGGAGTCAGTGCGTGATGATTGGCGGTATTGTAAGTGACCCACAATACATTAATTACGGCATACCACAAGGAAGATACTCGGACCAACATTTTTCAAGTTCCTATTAAAAATGCGGATATGCTGTGCTACGTAGACGACACTACCATAAATTTTCATAGACCCACGTGGATATCACAAATATCACTCTGGCTGCACTGACTCTAAATACTAAGAAGACGAAATACCTATGTTTCCATATAAACTCAGTCTCAGCCCCAAACTCTGAAACTAATATAAATAAGACTTCGTAATGTACCTACCCTGCAACGAAGCTCCCTGCTTTTGTGAAGCGCTTATACGTACTAATGTAATTAAGTAACTCGGTGTACATATTGACGAAAACCTATCGTTCGAGACACACATTGGAATCCTCTCAGCTTGTTTACGTAAAGTCATAAAAGTCATGCGAAATTCACGTGACCTACGTGACTACGCGCTATGTCTATATATTGTATCATGCTGGGGTAGCGCTTCTAAAACTTTTATGATTCAGGC